GGATGCACTGTACGTTATGGAAAAGGGCAGCAGGGTGGCTCTGTGGTCAGCACAGTTATTTGTTATATTTATAATTATATTTGGTCCTCTGGATTAGCCATTAATAAGTGCTTTATTCTCTAACCTAAATTAAATAAAAATATTATCATTACAGAGCAAATATTTTTAGAAAATGACAAAAGAACAATGTGAAATACAAAATTAAATAAAAAAATATATAAAATAAACAGCAATTCAAAGTTGAAGGAACATGTCTTCATAGCTTCTAAAATGAATATTATCATTTCCACCATTAATTTCCAGAATATTAGAAAAGCCCATGTAAACAATTCCATGATTTCAGAAAAAAATTAAGAGCAATACAAAGCTGAAGGAGGACTGTATGATTGTTCAGATCCTCGTGTTTTCATACGCTTCATTCAGTTCCTCAAAGAGCTGAGAGTAACCCGTACTGACCTCTCTTTCTCCAGCAGCTGATGCTGATGAAACCACATTAAGCTCATGTCATGAGACTGACTGTGTGGCAGTCTAAAAGCTCACAGTGATCAGGAAACTTTCCACATTGTGCGTGTCTGAGTTTAGTTCTGAGTGACAGAGAGAAACGCTCGCACTGTAGCCTGCAACCAAACACAGACTGATCCAAAAACCACACGCCAACACAAGCACTCGGACAGACAGATTATTAATATTATTATTTTATGTATTTATTAAAACCATCACTGCTGCTACAATAGTTGGTTTAAAATATTTCTTTAAGTGGTTACCTAATTTAAATGTTATTAAGATGGATACAAGTACTTCTAATCCAAATAATAATCATCACAATTATAAAAAATAAAACCAAGAAAATATTATATTATATTATATTATATTATATTATATTATATTATTTTATATTATATTATATTATTTTATATTATATTATATTATATTATATTATAGTAACAGTGTATTACAAAAATCTACAACATTTAACATTTAAATATTCTTAGTCTTAATATTATTGCTGCAATAGCTAGTTAAGCTTGCATTGAAAATTTGATCTATAAGTAAAAAATAACATATAATTATAATAATAATAATAATCATCAAAACATTTTATATATTATCCACTGAAATACATTTGTGTGTATGTATGTTTGTGTAACAGCTTTAACCAAAATGCCACGGCACATGTTGAGGTGGGTAATGCTGATGATTATCAGATGCTGCATTAAGCCAAATACTCATTATCTTATTGTGTGTATGAGTTTTTGTATATGTGTGTGCGTGCTGAACAGAGAGAGGATTAAAGGAAGGTAATCTGCACCAGTCTCCCAGCATCCCTGATAAACTGAGATAAACTGAACTCTATCCAGACATCCACAACACACCATTAGCCTGGACTATATATATTACACACATATACACACACACACACACACACACACACACACACACACACACACACACACACACACACACACACACACACACACACACACACACACACACACACACACACACACACACACACACACACACACACACACACACACACACACACACACACACACACACACACACACACACACACAAATATGGGTGTATGCAAGTATGCATGTGTACATCAACTGAAAGCTGAATGAATAAGCTTTTATGTTGTGCATGGTATTTTAGGATTGGACGGTATTTAGCTGAGATACAAAAATCTGGAATCTGAAAGGTAAAAAAAATCTAATTACTCAAAAAAGAAGTTGTTTAAATTAAGTTCTTAGCAATGCGAACTCCTAATCAAACATATATACACAGTCAAGCATGAAATTATTCATAGCTCATTCAGGCTTGACTGTATGTACATTGATCCAGGCTAACGGTCTGTTGTGAAAGTATTCGGCTTAATTCAGCATCTGATTTTACATACGTGATATATAATTCAGTTGAGTAGCGCTACTTTCATGATCACTCATTTTGGGTAGAGAATAACCTAAAACGGCTAGTGATAATTTCAACACCTTTCTTTCCGAACTAGGCCAAGTTTACTTATGGTGCTACAGACAAATCCTCTTAAGCAAGATCAGGACAAAGATCCTGAAGCTCAGAGAGGAAACACAAAGCACACGATGATGGAGTAACACTGCCACCATGTGACCGACACAACGCTTCAGTTCCTAAAACCAGATTTAATGTGCTCGACTCACTGAATACATCAAAATGAATGAAATTGAAGAAAGATCTGAAAGAAGATAGAAGGGTCTGAAATTTAGCCAAGAACAACCGATAAATAATCTTGAGTCTTGTGTGAAAAAGAAGCTTAAACAGCGAAATTCAACAGCAAATAATTCGATTTTTATTGTATTTTGTGATTTGACATTTAAAAGTATATCACTCAATTTAAAAACATCAATATTTTTAGAATATTTGCTTTTGTGTTGTTTAAAAGAAAGAAACTCATTAAGGCAAGGGCGTAGATTAGCTCTTGACATTGTTGGGGACATACATCCCTATAGAGCGCAAGCATTGAACACCACAAATTCTGTTTCATGCTTTTAAAAACACAAAAAAAGTACTTAATAATATAAAATAAACACTTAATATTACAAATAACAATCACGTCCCATGTTGCAAAAGTCAATTTACAAGATTTTACTGCAGTCGCGCTTTGAGGAGGTCTGAGTGTAGAGAAATTTAGAGGTGTGTGACGCAATTTAAGTTTTATGCTGATTACTGTTTTTCATAATCATAGAGGCCAAAATCGAAACCGAATTTTGATTAATTGCACAGTCTTGGTTAATAGTATTACAGTGAACTCATAGTGAACTTGATTTTGTGCATGTGTAGTTTACTAAGGGTTAACGGAGCATTATTTGGTGGATATTGGTGGGGACACATCCGCTCCGTCCATGTCAATTCTACCACTGCATAAAGTTTTAAAACCACATGAGGGAGAGTAAATGATGAGGTTTATGGGGAAAAAATACCCTTTAAAGGGAACCTTTACAAGATGTAAAGTAAGTCTCTGATGTCTCTAGTATGTGAAGTTTCAGCTCAAAATACTGCACAAATAATGTTTCATAACTCTTTAAAACTGCCCTCTTTGGGCTTTGATCCAAATTGTGCTATTTTGGTGACTGTAGCTTTAAATTTAAATAAGATTGTGCTCTTTTCAAAAGAGGGTGAAGCTACAAATGCCTATGTGTCAGCATGATGGCAGATTCAAAAACATGACTTAGGTCCTATGCTAATGAGGGAGAGACCATCACTAATGGGAGGGGTTTATCCCCCTCTGACGACATGTGCAAAGGAGAATGTCAATCGTAGCATTTCTGCAGACTGTTTTGATAGAGTGCGATTATAAAAAGCTAGCTAAATTCACACAATGCTGCCACACAACTGTGTTTAAACCCCTTATAAAATCATTTTTGAATGATAGGTCCTCTTTAAATTAATTGCATTTGAAAGCATTCTTTTATTTAATGAAGCACTCATTAAGACACTGATCTGCTGCCAAGTACTGATGGTTTTACTGTTATATTTATCCATAACACGCATAAACTAGGTGGAGAATCAGCACAAAAACACCCTCCACGAAATTGACATTTAATTAAAGACAAAAGAAAAAATAATGGTGAAATTACTAGGAAATGTTTACGTACACTTACTGTTACTGCTTTCTAGGCAAATAAATGGTGGTGTAATAAACTTGATTTAAAGAGATTAAGGAGAAAGAGAATTTAAAGAGAAAGATTCAGAAAAGTATGTACTTTTTAGAAGCATGAATCACGTTGCTTTTGAATGTTTTTCACAATGCATTTTAAGCAACAACTCATGTCCACAAACATAAGAATCTAATCTGTGTGCATGTGTGTGTTTTCAGAATGGCCCTGGTTGTTTTTCTGAGTCTCCTGAGGGACCGTTGCTGTACGAGAGCTCTGTTGTTATTCTGAGAGCTGATGTAAAGGAAACGTCTGCCGTGTGACCCTCCAGCTTCTGTCTGAGCTCACTTTTCCTGCACTACCACCTGCTGCGCTCACAACAAATACAGTAAAACACCTCCATGATTTTAACAAAAAAAAAGTATCTTCAATTTTAAAAAAATGCTAAACATAATAATGCTAAATTCATATTACTATTATATTGCCATGAAAAACATGTAGTATAATGTTTTTCAATACTATTGTATATAAGATTTTTGTCATTTGTGTGCATTAAGTACAGTATTTTGCAATCAATAATTGCATTTCCAACTGAAACAAAATATCCTGTAGGGGGGATGGGGTTTTATGCAACATGCTATGAAAGTAGCTCAAAAAATGCAACCCAGAGCTTTATTTTAAAAAAAAAATAACTCAACTGTGCAGGAAAACTGTGACCCTGGCGACAATGAATGAACATTTTCCCATTTTGCCGTCTGTTTCACTCTGTTGTTTCATTACATGTGGAGTGTCACATCACTTTCCTACCAATCGCTTGGATGGAGCACGTTATTGATGATATTAGAAGGAAAATAAATATAGTTATGCTTTTTTTTTTTTTTGAGTCAAACACTTCTAGACCTCGTAAAAACGCAATTAAGACTTTTAACACCTTTATAAGGCCTTAATTTTGTTATATGTAATATTATAAATATATAAAAGGGGATCATGAAAGGAACATTCAAAAAGCAACTCCTGTAAACACCTTCATCATATTATTGTTTAATTCAGATTAAGGAAAATAATTAGATGACTGATGTCCATGTAAACGTAGTCAATATCTTTCTCCCCCGTGTTTGTGCTGATTTTCACAGCGGCATGTACTGAAACTCCCCTGTTCATGCAAACTCTTCCCTCTTTTGCAACTCGACACTCCCACCTTAACAAAGCTGGACTCACCCAATTTCCTGACTTTATCAAAATAGAGGTGTGGAAACACCCTACTGAGACTGTGGAGGTTTCATGGCCTTTTAAGACTGACAATGTGCGCTAGCAAAATAAAAATTTTAAATTTTGATTCAATGTGGACTTGCCATTTGTACATACCTCATACTGAAAGCTTGCATCCAGCAGGAGTTCAGGAAGCATCTTCTCCCCAAACTCCTGACTGCCCAAATCAGAGACGTAATGCAGAACCAGTATCTCATCCTCCAGAAAGCGTCCATGTTTGACCATTGAGCGCATGGCCGTCTGAAATTTCTGCTGCAGGCTCAAGCTCTTGTCCACCTTGGTGAACATCATGAGAGCATGAAAGCGTTTGGGTTTTCCCTCCAGCTCCGCTCCGGCTCCCGGTCTACTCTCTAGATGTCCCGGCTGGATGTCTATGGAGAGATCGGCGTCGTCGCGGTTGCTGTTATGGCTCGCTTGCGTCTCCTTGATGCGTTTTGTGGTGCTGGAGAAGTTCTGCTTTTCTGAGCCGAAGTAATAAAACGCCACCACTGCTAAAGCTGCAGCGAGGAGAAGCACGATCTGATACGACCTGAACATGCTGATCCTTCCCATGATGCCCCACAGCACCCGCAGGACACCCATGGAGACACTTCCACATGCGCAAAATACAACAGCAGGCTCTTCCTTAAGTCTTGCTGACAGCTCCTAGTGTCCAATCATGGCCTAAATGCAAAAAAAAGGAAATTAATAATTACAATTGTTTACCTGAGAATCGCACACAAGGGACAATTCATCTGGAAATGAAAATTCTGTCATCGTTTACTGCACCTCCACTTGTCAAACTTGAAAAGATTCTTTCTTTAATTTAAACTACTTTGAAGAATGTTGGAAAACAGTAACCATTGAATTCATTTTTCCACTACTATGGATGTCACTGGCTACCAGTTTACAACATTCTTCAAAATATCTTATCCAATAGGTCACATGAACTAATTTTAAGACACTTAAACACTTTTTTTTAATCTTTTTTAAGACTGATAGCTTTAGTTCCTATTTACATAATGAAAATGAAAGGTTTTTAATTAATTTATTATTTTTTTCTTTCACACAAGACGGAACTAAATGGAAATGAGCAAAGCATGACAAAATGTAGAGATCTGGGCCACTAAAAATAGAAATATCCATACAAGTTTGAAGCAGTATGATAGAGAAAACAATTGACTTTTTTTACCTCTTGTGTATATTACGGCTTCAGATGCAAAAAAAGTGCTGTGTAGCAAATATACAAATGATGGAGTCTTACGGTAAACAGGTACATAAATAAAATAATCAATCAAAGCTGTTGAGTGTATATGGTGTAAATAATAAAATGCAGTTAATCTCGTTAAAGCTACAAACGTAATAACTCCTTGTGTCCAAATGCTTGAAATGCGCTTGAATTGTTTGCGCGGGCCTTAAAAACACAAGCAATTGATAAACTTCCACTTTATAGTGGTTTAATTTAAATGACCTCAGTTGACTATTGTACCTGGTCAACTACAATCCTGACCCTACAATGCATGTCCTGCGATGTGACTATTGCGGGTTCACACATTGCAATATCGATGCTAAAACAATAAATTGTGCAGCCATGATATAAACATATATTTATCACTTAATCATCATCATTGGATTCTTTCATGTATTAATATTGTGTATCTGGAAATGTCCACTGCTCGCATCCATAGTGCAAGAGAGGACACCATCAGACTTTGTTCTACTTTACTAATTTGAATTAATGAGACTTTAAAAAGCAGAAACTTCTGGTTCCAGGCCCCATATATATTACTTTTTCTTTAATTATATAATCTTTTAATTTATTTTTTTCCTTCTTTATTAATTGTATCTATTTTGTTCTTTTTATAGTAATTCAAGGTTCCCTGTTTGGGCTTCTAATAACTTTTCTTCATTGTCGTTGACAATGAATATCTATCTAATATATGAATATATATCGGTTTTGAATATATATTTTTATTTGTCTATTACCATTCCTCGATTTATTTATTTTTAACTGGCTTAATTTTACCCTTACTTAACCCTAAATAAAGATTTGGTTTATTGCCTTTTTTGGTTTGGAAATTTGTTTTATGACTATGTATTTATGTGTGTATGTGTATATATTTTAATTAATTTTATTTTATTATTTTTTACTTGTTTTAGTATGTCCTCGTCATTACTCTTCAGTTTTTCCTTCTTATTGACTCTACTGTTGTTATTGCTGGCACTATTATTAATGCTAATATGTAACAGCATGTATATCTGTACCCTTTGCTATATGCTGATTGTTTTTCTGTGTTCGAAAAATACAAAATAAAATAAAAATTTGATGAAAAAAAAACACATACATACATACATACATATACATATATATATATATATATATATATATATATATATATATATATATATATATATATATATGTGTGTGTGTGTGTGTGTGTGTGTGTGTGTATAAATGAAGCATTTCCCTCATAAATGCAAAACTGTCAAATAAAATAATCAATCATTTTTGTTTAGAGCCTACTCTTATCCTTTTGATTATCATTATTTCTTTTGGGTTGTGCAGTTTAATTCACAGAACTTCTACAAAGTATGCTGTATGCTATAAACTCGCAGACTTTTCTTGTCACATCGCATGTTTATTTTACACATTTAAAATACAAAAAAAGCTTACAGATGGATATTATTCTGCTCGTATAACTCTGGGGTTAGTTGTTTTTGGAAAATAGACACAGACGTTTCGATATAATGTTAACGTATACTTTCAATGTCAATTTATGTGTTGAGTTTTTACAGCAAATGTCACATCCATAACGCTGCAATTGCTCATAATTATTTTTAATTTCTTTTTTGGGGGGAACATTGGTTAATTTAGTTCTTTGGTTTAAAATATTGTTCAAAATATCACTGTTTAAATGTAGAAAAACATGGTATAAAACGAGATGACCTCTCAAACACTCTTAATTAACTTACAACTTAAGTTAATATATTTTCTGTATCACAGAAAAAACATATATACAGGTTTTTTGGTAAGGAAACAATATTAGATTCTGGTTTGTTCCTGCCATACTTCATTTTAATGGAATCAGACATTTTTAAATAGCACACATGTTGTAAGGCCTATTAAAGCACGTCTTTATTATTTTTAACCATATGGGAAAATGTCAAAAATGCTCTGTGAAACAGCATTGAAAGAAACATATTAAGAGAAAATTATGACAGAATGTTCATTTTTGGATAACCTATAGCTCTAAATATCATTTAGGCCAAATGACAGTTTCAAACAATACATGTGAAACGTGTCAGCTTTAATACAGCAAACAGCAGATGTTCAAAGTAACGTTGTGCACTTCCATACATGTTTATATGCAGCCGCTTTGCATGTAGCGTGAAGCAACAGTCTCTTACCGCCGTCACATGACGCCTTCAGCGGCGCGCGATACACACAGAAATCATGACAAGAGGAGCTGCTGCTGCTGGAAGACAACTGGAGCGGTGGGTTATTAAAGACTCTATGGAAAAATGTACATTTGCAAAAGCAAAATAATAATGCAGACACGAGACATCTGAACACTTGCGCGTCTTACATCACCGGAAGTTGAACAGTTCATAATAAAAGACCCGGTATCAAACATTTAAGACAAATTATTATCCAATCTTGTTTCTCTTATCAAGTATTAAGAAATATGTTATTTCATTCAGTGGATAAAAACACTGTTAAATATTTTAGAACAACATATCTTAAATTTCCAATTCTCCCCAAGGTAAAAGAAGTACAATTTAAAATATTTAATGATATAACTTATACCCTTCTAATAGATTCTTACATCTAAAATTTTACTTAGAAAACTCACCATGCCGTTTATGTAAACACTTTAGTGAAGACACTGAACACATATTTTTCTCTTGCAGCGCTGTTCGATCATTTTGGAAAAAAGTACAAGACTGGTTGATAATAAAAAATGTGGATGCTGAAGGTTTGACTTTTACATTATAAGATGTACTGTATGGAATTACTAAAGATTGCTCTACTTTGCACGATTTGATAAATATGATAATTGTGTTAGCCAAATATTTTATTCATAAATGTAGATATTTCAAAACACCTCCATTACTTATTGTATTTATAAAAGAACTTAAAATATTTTCAGATGCCCTGGTTAAAATGAAAACAAAAATTGCCTTAAAAATGTTCAATTTATTTGTATTATATAACTTGCCATAGATGATATATATGTTGTACTTATTTTTTATTTATTTATTTAATTTTTGCGTTTTCCTTTCACTCTTGGATTTATTTTAACTTGAATGTTTTTTGTATATTACATTTGTATCTTTGTATATTATTTTGTGTTGAGCCTTCCATATATGACACACAAGTTGTAAAGTTGAATCCCATTTTGTTGTATTTGGATTTTGTATTTTCAATAAAAAAAAAAATAATAAAAATAAAAAATAAAAGACCCGGTATCACATGAAGAAAGAAACGCAGCGTCGATATACGTTAACACCTGTGTTTTACAGTCTATGATTAACACACATAAATAAATAAATAAATAAATAAATAACGTATTTGTTACGTATATTCTATTTATAAAAGTAATTTTTGTTTTGTGCTGCCTAAAATGCGAATTGTTTTATTAATCAATGTATAAGAAGCTAATTTACTATCCTTACTATCCTAATACACTTGTGTATGACCACATAACTTACTCATATTGGTGATTACTGTTCAAAATAAGTATGTTGTTTCATGTTTACATAATTGCATTATACATTCATTAAATTTTCTTTTCGGCTTATATTAATTTGGGGTCGCCACTGCAGAATGAACCGCCAACTTATCCAGCATATGTTTTACATAGCAGATGCCCTTCCAGCTGCAACCCATCTCTGGGAAACATCCATACACCACAGACAATTCATCCTACCCAATTCACCTGTATCGCATGTCTTTCTTTGGACTGTGGGGGAAGCCGGGGCACACGGAGGAAACCCACGCGAACGCAGGGAGAACATGCAAACTCCACACGACCCTCTTGCTGTGGGGCGACAGCACTACCTACTGCGCCACTGCGTCGCCCCATACATTTTTTATAATAATGAATTAATTTTTTTTAAAGTTTTTAATTTGTCAACTCTCATTATTTCCTAAATATGGCTTTTGTGCTTCTATAGAATGGGAGTTGGTAAACATATTCAAGGGTGTGCACAGATGGGAAGCATTTTGATTGATGTAGTGGGCCACTCTTTCCCAAAATGCCAGGGCCGATTTTTTGTACCAGTCCAGCCCTGGGCATGACCATTTCTCCTCTGGCCAAGCTTCTTGTGCAGAGCTGCAGTCAAGGCATCGGAGACTGGAGAATGCTGGACGTCCATTGTGAAGAAGCTGCAGGTGTGAATAGGTCACCGGCAGGTGTTCAGGCTGGCCCACGGGATCAATTCTGAGACTCATATGTCACTAAAGTCATTTAGGAATCAGTCTCACGCTCTCCACTCCTCCATGACCACCACAGCATCAGCTCAGGATACGGCCTGGTCCAGGATTATGGAGACCTCTAGAAGTCCTCTATAGTTGGCATCATCCTTTCACAGGACTTGGATCACTTGTGTTTGGATGACATTAACATGCACATTTACAGATAAAGAGTTGTATGGTTGAAACTAAAATATTGTATAAGATATTGTACTACACTTTACAGTTCATTCATTCATTTTCTTTTGGCTTTATCCCTTTATTAATCTGGGGTGGCTACAGTGGATTAAACCGATCACTCATCCAGCACGTTTTACACAGCGGATGCCCTTCCAGCTGCAACCCATCACTGGGAAACACCCATACACTTCAATTCACACACATACACTACAGCCAATTTAGCTAAATTTTTCCTCTATAACGCATGTCATTGGACTGTGGGGGAAACTGGAGCACCCAGAGGAAACCCACACAAACACTGGAAGAACATGCAAACTCTTCATAGAAATGCCAACTGACCCAGCTGAGGCTCGAACCAGCAACCTATTTGCTGTGAGGCGAGAGTGCTACCCACTGTGCCACTGCACTGCTGTACACTTTACAGTAGTTTGCTTAAACCAGGGGTGTCCAAACTTGGTGTCGGAAGGCCAGTGTCCTACAGATTTTAGCTCCAACTTGCCTCAACACACCTGCAAGGATGTTTCTAGAAAGCCTGGTAAAGCTGTGGTCACACTGCACTTTTCTCCTCATAGACTTCCATTCATATGCAGTGTTGCCAGATTGGGCGTTTTCTTTTGCATTTCGGCGGGTTTTGGACAGTTTTTGGCCTGGAATCAGTCAGCTACATCTGGCAACACTGTTCATATGCAAGTGAATGCGTCAGACCGGAAAGGCAAGGTCATGCAGCAAGTTTCGCAGTTCGCTGCGTTGGAAAGTTCAAGCTTGGTGATCTCTGAACTGCGAAATCGCATCATATGATTGCATGAGACAAATCGAATATCGAAACATAACCTCTCTGGACAGAAATTTAAAACATGAACCAATCACTCGCTTTTTTTGATGTCTAATCATCTTGTTTAATCCTGCCCCTTTTCGTAGCGCCGTACGACAGAATTTCGCAAGCTCAAACTCTAGTGTGACTGCGGCATATGAGCTTGAGTAGCTACCCCAGGTGTGTCTAATTGGGGATGGAACTAAACTTTGGAGGACTTCAGCCCTCCAGGACTGAGTTTGGGCACTCCTGGCTCCGGTTTCCCCGACAGTCCAAAGACATGTGGTAAAGGGGAATTGGGTAGGCTAAATTGTTAGGAGTGTATGAGTGTGTGTGGATGTTTCCCAGAGATGGGTTGCTTCTGGAATGGAATCCGCTGCGTAAAACGTGCTGGATAAGTTGGCTGTTCATTCCGCTGTGGCGACCCCGGATTAATAAAGGCACTAAGCCGAAAAGAAAATGAATGAATAATGAATTTATAATCCACGCTAGAAGTCCATCTTGTGTGCGCCTGTGTGTTTTGAGGAAGCCTATAATAAATAATGAACATAACAAAAACTGCCTGCTGTTGCACACAGTTAATGTTGATTAACAAAATAAAGTTAAATAATAAAAGCAACGAGTCGGAGACCCTTATAAAGGTTTAACTCAACAATGAAACATCTATAATTAGTATGTTTCCAGTATGGATTGGTATGTCGTTAGCATGTCCAATGCTAAGTCAATGGCATTTTTTTACAATAGAAGTCTATGGTACAGTTGCTAGGGTGCTGTGAGTGGTTGCTAGGGTGTGGCTAAAAAGTTTAAAGGACATCAGTGGATGGCAGATTGGTAGTCCGAGTTTTCCAGATCAGTTTTTGGAAAACCGTATGTCGAATCAGTTGGAAAAGATACAGCAACCCGAGCCAGAGCAGTGTGGAGGTTTGGAGCTAGTTTGGTGGTTGTAGTATGAACAGTCTAGGAGGAAACGCATGTAGAAGTCTCAGAAGAAGAAGATTAAGTTTATGTAGTATAACAGTATGTTGGCTTTCTCACGCCACCATAATAAACATGAATCGAATGTAAATAATCAGCGTAACGGCGTGAGCACTTTTCTTGAAATACGTTTATTTGTACAGAGTCACATAACACTCAAAATATTGAAGACAGACTGGATACAAAGCTACGTTTGAATAGAACTGAGGATGAGGCTTTGTAACTGATGGCAGTTTATAGATGGTTTCTACTGAGTGCAGTCATAGGCCAAAAAATCCCTTACGTCTACAAATAATCCAAAATACTAGGGCGACTTTAGTCTCGTTTTAAATTTCTTTTTTTTAATCTCATGCAAGGAAGGAAGGAAGGAGGTAAAGAAAGTATTTGGCCCGCTATATATAATTTCGTAATAGTGATAATAAAGTAAAGATACCTGTATGACATCAAGTAAAGGAGTAAAAATGCAACAGCAATACCGAGAGAGAATGTAACCACTCAAAGCATTCGAAAACATAATAAAGTAAACCAAAGACGCCTTGACCTTCCATTAAATAGATTTTTCTATATCCTCCATCTGACAAACTTCACATATAGCAAACAAATGTACATTATTTTTTAAATTTCCTCTGATTTCACATGGTAAACGTTCTCTCTTTTATATTTACTGGTGTCGTAGAGTTCCTAACAATAAAGAGACTCCAGAACAAACCATTGAAACATTCACAATCGGTATGAAATCGCCTATGCAGGTAAACCTTCAGTGCTATGTAACATTGACGGCTTTGTTGTCGACACGCAAAGACAAATCTGAGCGATGACATGTTCAAGTACAACAACTGAAACTCATTAAACATTTTTTTTTCTAAGGTTTTTCTAGTCATACAAAAAGACTCCAGAACTTCTGCATCTCAATAGTTTGCGAGTCATTACAAAAACGAAACTGTGAATGGGCTTTTTAGCGGGTCCAGCCCAAGTAGATCTGTAACCTGTACAGACGAAACACAAAAGCATGCATTAAATGGCTTTAGGAGAGCTAACATAAGGCTGACTAAGCTCTAATATAGCCCATCTCAGGCAGTAAATGAGCTTGTAGGGATAAAAACACATGCATCAAAGCGTCTGAAGGCAAAGAGAGAACGAACAAAACATAAAAACGAAGGAATACAAAGTGCAAGAACCACCTGCATACGCCAAGTGTCAATCTGTTTACTGCATATAAGAGTTACGACAAAAGTTTTGTGTTTGTTTTGTTTTTTTTTACACAAGATGTATAGCAAATGAATGCATAATTATTAAGCACTTAATGTAGACTCTTGCATTTCTCATTAAGCGACGGAGGGAATGAGCATCTGTTCTTTCCTTCAGTTTTTTCCTACATCTATCATTTAGATCTCAGGTGGTTATGCGAGTATGATCACTGGCTTGCCAACGTAAAACATCACGAGAGAAAAATAGTACTCAGTGCTCCTGCCAGTATCCATATATTCGCTTCAATAGCACGATTGCACCTCATTTGTAAAATGTACATTTTCACAGCTTTAAAGTAATGCAGGAACATGACAAGGGCTTTGACAAGAGTAGACATATAAAGAGAAAATATAGATGAATCCAACATGTATTAGATTTACTCATCCGCACGCCTTTCCATTTCATTTACGTTTTTTTTTTAACACACAAAGTCAATGGGGTCCAATGTTGCTTGGACATGCTGCGAAATATCTTGTTTTGTGTTTTTTAAATTTGGAATGACACAGGGTTTTATTTTGATTTGTAGTATATAAAAGGTCCAATCGAAAGTGTTATAGGGAGCAGATTGAACGCATCACTGTCAGTATGCCCTAATCAAGGCACTTTACCTGACTCAAGAGGGCGGTGACTGGTTAGTTCAGGGGTGCCCAAACCTGTGTCCTGCAGAGTTTAGCTCCAACTTGCCTTAAGACACCTGGCAGACTTCTAGCAAGCCTACTAAGAGCTCGATTAGCTAGCTTAGGTGTGTCTGATTAGGGGTGGATCTAGACTAGGCGGGATCGAATTTTGGCACCCCTGGGTTAGTTTGATTTAAAGCTGTCATTTTAATTTTTTAAACACGCACATCTTTCCATTTATTAATTTTTTTTAACACACAAAGTCAATGGGGTCCAATGTTGCTTGGACATTCTGCGAAATATCTTCTTTTGTGTGTGTTCTTTTTTTTTTATTTGGGGGTTTCATTTTGCTCTGTAGCATATAAAAGATTGAAATTGTCCAATCTAAAGTGTCATAGGGAACAGATTGATCACAACACTGTCGGTATGCCCTAATCAAGGCACTTAACCTGACTCAAGAGGGCGCTGATTGGTTAGTTCAGGGGTGCCCAAAGGTGTCCTGCAGAGTTTAGCTCCAACTTGCCTCAACACACCTCCCAGGAGATTTCTAGCAAACTAAGAGCTTGATCATCTAGCTTAGGTGTGTCTGATTGTGTTTGGATCTAAACTATGCAGGCCACCGATCCTCCAAGACTGAATTTAGGCACCCCTGTGTTAGTTTGATTCAAAAATGTCATTTAAATTAGCTCTTCACTTGTTTAAATCACCTAATTTTAATCAGTTTTTGAATTCTTTCAGACAATCTCTGCGTCTGGCAGTGTGTTTTTAGCTTAGCTTAGCATAAATCATTGAATCGGATTAGACCATTAGCATATTGCTCAAAAAAAAAGTTAAAATAACGAGTTTTGAATTGAGGACATAGATCCAAGCCATATAGACCTACAAAACATAAACTTTTGACTTTCCATCAGTCAAAAAGAGAATGGATCAAAACTCTTCTGAATTTTTAAACACGATGCTTATGATCTAATCGGATTCAATGATTTATGCTAAGCTAAAAGTGCTCCAGCCAGACACATAGACCTGCTGAATGGATTTAAAAATGATCAAATTCAACTATTTAACTCTGGGTGACTTATAAAATGAGGCTATTTCCAAAAAAGTAAAGTGTTCCTTTGTTTTTAAATCTTTTTTTCTCATATTTTTTAATTTAATGATCAAATATTGTCTGACATTGAGGAGACATTGAGGAGGTAAAGAATGTGTATATACACATCTATATATATATATATATATAAGCATGTATTATAATGCACTGTACTGTAGTGTTGTCGGTAAACAAAATGTTACCAGCGTCATCCACTTGAAGCATCTAAAAGCCATTTCACCGTCTAAAAAAACATCCATTTCGTCTGTAGAATCTTTCAATATAATGTCTAACTACATAGCACCGTCTTAATGCTTCCTGAACAAACCTGTAAATTCTGTGTAGTGGAATAAAAGTACCCAGAGATACAGCGACTCAACTGAGGGGGAGGAAAAACAAATCTGATCTTTCGCAACTGCTTAGGGGACAAGCGTTTGCTTTCTTCCGGCATGCGAAGGCAAATGGAGGACACTAATATCCATTCATACTAAGTGAGTGTGTTTTAAGGCTTCATATATCTGCTGCCAGAGCATTCGGATGGATGAATGTAAAATCAACAGAGAAAAACACAGAAAGCAGATAACCTGGATCCCTGTGATGTTTCACACACTGGAACAGCAAAATCATCACTCATCTGTGAGCGAAAAATTTTTTAAATGTTTTCTTATTAGTGTCAGACTGATATATAAAGGCCTGGGTTATTAGTTTGCCAATTTTTAGCCATTTTGTTACCCATTGGTAGTCAAATATGGTGTCAAATATGTGATCGATTGAATCAGAACTCATCTGTTTACATCGCCACCAATACTGGCCATCAATAATAATAATTCTTCTGATTTCAAAAGTATCTGTACTGCTATTAAATAGTGTGTAACGTGCATACTGAAAACATGTTTTAAAAGTCTGTATACGGAATATGAGACTCGTGTAGTGCTACGGACAGGCCAAAATGTGAGATCGTAATAATAATAATAATAAAAAAACGTAATGAAAATATTCACGTCCAGTGCATAATATAAGGTATTCAGGCTATCATTTTAGCTCGCTGTGCATATAAGGAAGAAAGGAGAACAAAATCCTGTCCGTCTATTGTAAAGGCCAGCGGGGGCCAAACTGAACTCAAAAGGGCAAGAGCGCAATTCCAAAATCAGCACCATCAGATTCGCACTGCTACGCCTCGGCTGCCTTTCAGGGGTTAGTGTTGGTTTTGAGAGGAAAGGCCATGTAGCAGACCAAGTTTCATACCCTGTTTTTTTTTTTTTTCTTTCGTTTGTTTTCTAGTGTTCTCAGAGGTTCCGTGCATATTAGAAGGCATTTGTAGTTTTAAACAGGAAGACATGAACATCCCCACAAAAGCTCCTGAAGAGTGCAGAATGTTTGTTTTTTGTTGAAGGTTTGTTTTCCGCAGAAAAAAAAAAAAATATATATATATATATATATATATATATATATTAATAATAATAATAACAAATGATGACAAGTAGAGTTGACTCTCCAGGAAAAGAGCAGCACAAGGGGGAGAGAATAAAAAAAAGTATGACAAAACTACAGCTATAATGTAAAACCAAGCTGGACAATGGCAAAAGATGCCTCATATGGGACAAAAAGAAAATAAACAAAAAGGACAACACCAAAAAAAAGATGTCCTTCTGGGTTGTTTTAGTGCTCTGAAGGTCATTTGTACATGAGGTTTGGGTGCCATTTTTCTCCATGGCATCAATCAGGCAGTGCATCCTGCAAAAAGAGTTTGGCTTCTGCCTGTTTTCCGGCCCTAAGTTCCACCATTGGGCTCAGTTTTGGGCATGGTGACGGATGGTGTGGAAGATCCAGTCCATCTTGGTGGTCCATCCGCCATGGTGAGCGTCATTCATCTGCTTCATGAAATAGTCCAGGGCTTCCTGCTCGGTTTTGTCTAATGCCAGAGTCTTGCGGATGTAAGCGATGTCGTCGAAGGACTGCAGCTCCGGCATTCCTGAGCCCAGCATCATGGAGAAGAGGTTGATGAAGAGGTTGGCATGCTGTCGGATGGCCAGGTATGCCTTGTAGCACATCTCTTGAAACCTGCAGGGGGAGACAGCGAGACATTCTGAGAGCTGCAAAAATGAGTCCTGTTGCCTGGAAGTCATTTTTTTTGGTTAATTAAAGAATCTGATATGTAGAGTGATATTTAGAAAGCGGAAATATTAAACTGGAAAAGGGTGACCCCTATAACAAATCATGTACTGTACGTACGGTATCTGCAGGTTTCTAAGAGTTATATTTAAGACCGTTTATGACCTTTTAATACTAAATTAAACTAAATTTAGGACCAATTTTATAGTACAGAATTTGCAAAAAAGAAAGCAGACACCAGAACAAATGACCATCCCTAAAAACGTGTTAACTGTTCTATAGATATTATCCTGTTTTGTAGATACTTATTTTCTGATTTTGTTTGATGATGTTCTGGTAAAGCATTGGCTGACAACTTTGACGTGATGTTTTCTCTCTACATTTTTTAAATAGCTTGAAAGAAAAAACAAACGTAAAATTACATTAAGGCATTTAAAACTGATTGTATTAATGACAGTGCCACTTTCACACTGTGGTAAAAGTTCAGGAATCAGCAACAATGATACACTACATGTAGCTGTGTTTAAGCAGATTTCAGTTCGATTGCATTTTAAGAACCCTGAAACATGGATTTAAGACATTTTAAGACTAATTCAAGCATCATTTTTTAATAATGTATTTAAAACTTTAAGGATTCACGAACACCCTGGGCTCTGTTTTAATGATCTAGGCACAGAGTCTAAAGCGCATGCCACAAAAGCATTAAGGGTGTGTCTGAATCCACTTTTGCTATTTTAAGGATGGGAAAACACACTTTGCGCCCGGCTCATGGTTTAACAGGGTTGTGCTTATTCTCTTAAGGAGTTATGTGTGTTTTGAGCATAATGTGCATTAAACCAATCAGAGTCTTGTTTCACATTCCCTTTAGGAGTCAGTTTCGTCGCATTATGGCATATTTGCTATTTACATGGCGGACTTTGTAAGTGGAAACACTGAACGCTTCACTTGCGAGAAAACAGTTAAACAGACCATCTGCGTGAGAATAAATAATGAGTTTCCTCCATTCGGCCTCTTTACTTTACTTTTACTCTTCACTTTACTCCTTTACTTTCATGGATAAGGAAACAGTATTTTACTCACTCCACTGAAGACATCCTACATATTTAATTTAGTTTGTTAAGCGCAAAGATTTGTTTCAAAACTATTTCTAAATTCAGTTCTAATTTCCAGCAAACGAATAAATGAACAATAATAACGAAGTGTGGTTATATCCAAACACACAACCTATTCTTATGCCCCATATGGTGACGTATACATCTTCAAAACAGGACACGTAGACAAATCTAAGCTTGTTTTTATTAAAACCAATATAAATACGCATATAATAAATATTACTGCTAATAATAATAACATTAAACCTGCATAGACGCTTAACTAATGCACTCTGCACAGGACTTTAGACCAGGTTTCAGTTGGTCAATGGTGCAGTCTATTTCAGTTCCTCAAAATAGCACCGTGCCAAGACTGCGCCTTAACACATCTCCTTATCAGACCTGCACATGCATGCACGCACGCACGCACACAAATTGGCGCAAATGGATTTACTATTTAAACAACGTGGGGAAAAAAATAAAAAATAAATAGGGTTTAAATGGTCTAAAAATAGCAACAAATTGCGCCAAACATGTATTGCGCCTTATCACACCGGGTGTATGATAGGGCCCCCTGCATACCTCTCAATGGAAAAAAACGCATTAATCTTCAACAATTGTAGGCCCAACTAATCCTGATTTTTCCTGGTTAATCCTGGAACTTTTGCCAATTGGTGAAGTTTGTTCCTTGCCACTGTCTTGCTTGGTTTGGGACTTGTGGAACTGCACATTGATGGATTTGCTCTTCACTGCTTGGACTTTCAGCAGTGATATTTATATTACAGTGAACTAAACTAAACTGGACTGAAGTGGTTTCAATTCACTAGAACTTCTTCTGTCAAGCTGCTTTGACACAATCTACACTGTAAGAGCGCTATAGAAATAAAGATAAAAGATGAACAAAACATGATACCTTTTTTTCAATACCTGAAAGACTATTTCAACACTAGTTTAGTTTTACTCAAGCAAGTCCAGACACAATCAAGCCAGAGTCAAGACACAGACGTCCACTCCTCTGAGAGACACTGATAAAGAACAAATCCTGCTTTTCTGAAGTCTCCTGAAGCAGAGACTTGTTAAAAAGCGGAAGAGAGGCAGGAAACTTGGCAGCCGACTTGCTGTCAGCGTATTGTTGGAGGAGGAAAGTCTGCTGGAATGAAGGCCCGAGAGTCTCATTTTAAAAGCCTCTATTGTTCTGCTCAATCTCTGATTGTCTCAGACAGTTTGCTGACTGCCAATTACTATGTTAATGGTGAAACAACAAAGAATTTGTTTTCGCATACGTTCACTCTGGAAATAAATTGGCGATTTTTTCCAGCATACGCACCTCTCAAACTCTCTGGTTTTAGTGCACTCCTGGGTTCCTCCTTTGCTGATCACAATTAGGAAGTCTTGAGTCAAGACGAACGGCACTCGCTCTCGCTTGTAGCCAAACTTCTTCTTCTTGTGGTCCAAAAAGTGACCAAAATCTATATGAAACAGCTGTAGAAACAATGCAGATGCTCAGTGTGGAAATACTGACAATAACTGAATCAAGTATTGGTTTTAAGGCATAAAAACAACATTCCCACCTGCCCATCATCCTTCACCATGATGTTACTGTTGTGCCTGTCACCAATACCCAGAATGAAAGTGGCCACACAATAGCCAGCACAGGATCGCGTAAACAAGTCTATAGCCATGTCGTACCTATAAACATTTCGACTGGTTACTCCAAACACCTTCCTTTGTTTTTAATTGTGTGTATTTGGTTTGAATTTGAACTTACATTTCACCCTTGTTCTTGTCTTTTAGCCACTGATGCAGCGTTGTACTGTTAAACTGCAGCGCACCCTTCAGGCCTCCTTTACATTGAATCTGCATGATGGTGTGAGAACTTCTTACCACCTCGATGAGACCCACACAATCTCCAATAGACAAGCAGCCATAGGGGAGCATTCTGGGAGAGCAAAAAAAATTACAATCTCACTTAACACGTGGCAGCAGGAGAATTAGAACAATGTAAAATCAATACCTGATGCTTTACACGTTTAAAGGTTTTAGAGCAGCACAATAAAGAGGCTTGTAATCAGCTGAGGACAGAAAAGTAGGGAGACCTCACCCCTTAAAAAAATAAAATAAAATAAATAAATAGAAAAAAAAAAAAAATATATGGATGGATGGATGGATGGATGGATGGATGGATGGATGGATAGATGGATAGATGGATAGATGGATAGATGGATAGATGGATAGATGGATAGATAGATAGATGGATAGATAGATAGATAGATAGATAGATAGATAGATAGATAGATAGATAGATAGATAGATAGATAGATAGATAGATAGATAGATAGATAGATAGATAGATAGACCGGTAAATGTGCGTTTCATGTCAAATACAAAAGTCAAAGCCTGCTGAAATATTAATGTGAGCTGTTTATCTATTAGGAAAATTGACTGAAATGACCATCTGATAATGTTTTCCATGTTTTCATTTTATAAATGTTTTTATTAGATCGGTTGTTTTGTTCATTTCTGCAGTGACACCTTGACAGAAAGATCAACATTGATCTGACTGCAGTCTCAGTACATCAGTTAATTCTCTCGATAATTTAAACCTATGTTTTTAATAGATTGATTGATTTAATAGATAGATTTTTACAAAACTTGACTGAAATGAGGCTGTATGAGAAAGTCTTGCCTCTCTGATTTATATTTGTTGATGATGCATGTGGGTGTCAAAACTAAATTGCACCTTTTTGCTTATATTGTCTTATCGCTTATCATCATAAATTAAAATAACGACGTGACGGCTGAGCGGAATCTGTGGGACTCTGAAAAATCAACCCTGAAACTCTTAAAAATAACCCATGAAACTCTGACCAATGTAAGGAGAGCTTACTCGCACATGACTTGTTTTAACTTTGCTGTGTGAAAGCCAACCGCACCAAGAACAAAAATAAACATTGTAACAATTCTAATCCTCGTTTCAGAACAAATCAATCGATTTACAGGTGTGAAAGCACCCTTTAGTTTAGGTCACAATTCATGCTATTAACTACTGGCTTATCACCTGTCTGTTATAAAGATATTAACTGTTAATTAGTAGTTATAATGTATGATCTTATACTGTTCCTTCCCAAAACCTAAACCCAACTTCAACCTTACTATTAATAAGCAGCTAATTAGTCATTTATTAAGCTTGTAGTGTTAGTTAATGGTTTGTTATTATTGTGAATTGTGACCTAAACTAAGGTGTTACCCTTTATCTTTGCTCTGTTGCATTTATATATGCTTGTAATTTATTCAAGTTTATGCAAACGCACTGCATAGGAAAAAGATTTGATCATGCCTATCTGAATTAAATGTTTCCAAATAGAGATATTCAGTCAATCGAGTCCTAGCAGGTTTGGTTAACTTTTTAGTTTCCTGGTCAACTATTCTCTCATACCTCAGGTCCAGACCCTGATTTTGCCAAATGTTCTCCATTATTCTGATGATCTGAAGCGTCAACATGTCTTGCCGCAGATCTAGGAAACGGAAAAGCAGGGAAAAGACTTGTAAGTTGTTGTTTCTTTCCATTACAAACTGAAGGGCGTTAATTCTGAAAGAGGACAAAAGCTGATCTGACCATCTCCGTTCTTGAAGATGATCTCATTGTTTTGGAAGAGAAGTTCGGACATGATGTCAGGATTTTCCCAGTTCAGCCAGAGCGGTCTCTTGGCAGAGGACATGATTCTGCAGTCTTCAAGTCTGCCACACACACACACACACACACAAAAAAAACAGAAAAATAAATCACAAATCAAATATACTACAAAAAGTTTAAGGTTTTAATTTTTAAAATGTCTCTTATGCTCTCATAGACTGCATTTATTTGATCAAAAACAATTTGTAATTTATTATTTGAGTGTTCTGCCAAAATCAATTTTAAAATGCTAATTTAGTGTTTAAAGGTTTAAAACAAACTTTTAATCTTATAACTAAAATGTTTTGCTGCTTTTTTATGATTCTTTAATGAATAGAAAGTTCAGAATTCACTTCATTTTTCACCGATGTTAAACTAAAATCAAAAGTCACCCCTGCCAAGTGCAAATATCCTTTCTCTTAGCTGTAAATACAGCACAGTGTGGTTCTCACCGTAGGTTCCCCAGCTGGTGGGCAGGGTTTAGTGGAGAGGTGAAATTTTGGAGGGCATCCATGTAGTCTGGTCGCCTCATCTGCTCCACTAGAAACTTCATTTGCACCTGAAAAGCAAAATAAATATACTATATTAAAGTCAGCAAGCAGCAGGGCAGAATGAGGTCTGATTAAGGAGTAGGGCAGATTATTGCATTTTAATTATCTAATATCTCCTATTATTAATAGGTATTGTGTGAGTGTGTGTGAATGTGAGACTGTGTGGGTGTTTCCCAGTACTAGGTTTCGGCTGGAAGGGCATCCACTGCGCGCAAAAACATATGCCAGAATAGTTGGCGGTTAAATCCGCTGTGGCGACCCCTGATAAATAAAGGACTAGACCTATGGAAAATGAATGAATGATAATAGATAATGAACTTGCAATAAATTAATTAATCAAGAACAATAGAAATGACTAGTAAATACAAAATTATGGATTTACTGTGCAACTATACCGTGTTCTGGAAATTTTCTAAACGTTTTCCTAATAGGTATAAGGATAGACTTAGGATTGAGGACAGGGTTAGATTTAAGATAAAGGGTTAGATTTAGGGTTTGGGTTACAGATTAGCAGAATAACTGTAAACATGCAAGGAATTGAAATCTGACTATAATGCATCTACATTGTAAGTCTGCATATGGTTTGCATGTTTAGATATTAAACAGGGTTTCTGCGGATTCACCAAAATCAAATTCAAGACTTTTTAAGACCATGAAAAATGAAATTTTAGACTTATTTCAGAAACCATTTACTTACTCATATAAATGTGTGACTTCTATAGGGCTGAACATGAAGGATTTTTTTAATGGCCCAGCAGAAAAATTAAGTAGTCATTTCTTAGCCACATATTTTTAATAATGTGTCAAAACAAGCCAAACTTAGTTGTTTACATACTTTTTTTTTATTTTATACTTTATATTTTATTTTATATTTTATTTCATTTTTTATTTTAAATTTAAGACCTTTTAAGTCCTAAAATTTTGTTTTTTAAATTTAAGACATTTGAAGACTTTTTAAGACCCTGCGGACACCCTGTGAATGGGATGATTGAAGTAAAGCCTGTATTACACAGTAGCTGAGGTATCCCACGTCAACCTAATCTAACAGCTAGGGTTTCACTTGCAGTATACGCCGAGACTCTTCTTATATAACCTCACGAGCCGGCTTTTAGCAGAAGGTCGAGTGCTGAGTTTACCTTCTGAGTTTCATCCTTCTTCTCCTGTTTGAGAATGTCTGTGAGGTTGATGAGCTTCTCCATGGCCTCCACTTGTCTGCTCAGGTGCTTCAGGTACATGCCACACGCGCGGCAGTACGACTCCAGCAGTAGGCCAAACCGCTGACTCACAGTTTTATTGTGCATCTCTGACCTGCAACCCCATGGGAAGTTACAATTTAACTTCATTTATATCTTCAAAAACACCATGATATCTAGGACAGTGAGTGGAAAAAGGAAATGAGAATGAGAAAGAAAAACAAGTAAATGACGTACTTCAAATGCCAAAAGAAGAAGTGCCCAATCCTCTGGTTGGTGAGAGCTTTTTTTAGCAGAAATCGCACCAGTGGGTTATCAAGATACTGCTCGTACTTCAAAACCTAGAATGAAATAATGAATAGTTCATTTTGGGACATATAAAAAAAGTTCAAGATTTTTTTTATCTGTTAACCTCTCTGTCTTAGAATTCTGTATACACCATGTATACACTTTAATTTAAAGCATCTAAATTGAGCTTCAACCATCAAATCTATTTTGAATGAAGAAACAACCTCATCATTCATCACAAACCCTGTGATCGCTAGGTTTTTGCCTCATCAGTGTGAAGTATTACCTCAATGTTTAATCAGAGGGCAACACTTGTTTTTGACAGTTTTTGAAGTGAAGGGCATATATTCTAATGTTTAAAATACCTGCTTAAGAGTCAAAAGTTAAGCAATTTATGGCAGTATTCATAAAAGAAAAAAGTGTGTTGTTGTAGGGGTGCCAGCTATGAAAAAGGTTTTATAGCTGGCAGATCAAAGTTGACCTAAAGGATAACCATTGTACTAGAGCTGCACGATATTAGAAAAATCAAACATTCCAATACATTTTTATGCTATTGATATTGCAATATGAAAACAGTTTTACAAAATGTTTTGAACAGCTCTATTTGACAGCTTTCTGGGGAGCCTAACAGAATTCATGTAGAAAAAGTGAATAATCACAATGCAAAAAATAAATAAATAAATAAATAAATAAATAAATTTCTACTATAGCTTGTTTCTAGTCAAAAAAAATTTTTAGATCAAGAATATTTTTTTTGTTTTCACCTTTAGAAGAAATAAGTCAAAATAAAGAGTTTTACCTTAAAACAAGTTAAAAATGGGGTAAGTTAAATAATCTTTTTTTTTTTTTTGCTTTGAAATCTAGATATTAAGACCAGAAAAAAGACAAATACTTTAAGTAAGAAAAAGATAAATATTATAAATATTTAAATACAATTAATCTTTTTTACACCTCCAAACATTATCATTTTTTAAACCTAAATATTTTAAACTTTCTTGAAATGCTCAGCCACGGGCCTTAAAAACATGTGCAAATAATAAACCTCAACTCTTCTGGTTAAACTTAGCAGTGACTCTACAAACCACATGCTTTCTGTGGCTCCTGGTCAACTATAATTCAGACTCAACATTCCAGATCTTGCTATGTGACTATTGTACTATCATATATCGATGCTGAAACTATATATTGTGCAGCCCTATGTTGTACTCATCCTTCTTTTTTTCTAATGCTGGGGGAAATTTTAGAAAAAGTCACCAAACAATATAAACACTAAAGATAAAAACATGTTAATTTTTTTGCTATTAAAATGGTGCCTGGGTCATATTTGACACATATGTCAACAGGAAACTTAAAACATCTGTGCAGCATATTACTGTTCCATATAAAAATGCTTTGCATTTGTTTATAACTACAAATCATTACATTTCTTATATATATATATATATATATATATATATATAACATATATATATATATAACATATATATATATTTAATATGTTGCTAAGAAGACAGCCTAAGATGATAGGGTCAAGTACAGCTCCATCACTGTTTAAAGTAAAAAAAAAAAAGATCATGCTTTATGATTCTGAACCCTAACACCACTGTTGTATTGGACCAAACAGTTAATTCTGTGAATTGTTACACCCCTAATAATGAGTGTATAGTGTCTTAAAGTGACTGCAGTATAATAATACATTATTTATGAATATAACTGTCTTTTCATAGAGTTATTAATGCATTATTAATGTGTTATTAATGACAGAGTATTTATAATTAAATTTATCAACCTTACCTGAACCAATTGAATGAGGTACTGCGAGAGTTTGTCATCGGTTAGATACTTCTCAAGGCACCGAACCGCAAAGTCTCGGATCATTGGATCAGGGTAGTTACAGTCAAGCAACTCCATGGCTTGTTCCGGCTTTATTGCAGGCCAATCTTTCAGAAGGCAATACATCTGTGCAACTTCATCTCTGGAATTCCACTTCACCGCCAGCAGAATCTTGGGCAGGATTTCTGGTATATTTACACAATACTGCCTGAAGTAGAAAACACAAGCAGTTTTACATGAGCTTTGAACACTAAAATGAGCAGAGCTGATGGGGTGATGGACTACCTGTGCCTCCATAGGAAGTCTTTTTCCTGCTCAGTGATCTCAGAAAGCGGGTCCCTGTTTCCCAGCTGCCGAAGTTGCTCTATATCTGCCTCTGTCATTGCATGGTCTCGTGCCACTCTACTGCTCTATAATTCACAAAAAACGAATTAATAATAAAGTCCCTTTCAGGCAAGTCATTTCACTTGGTGGTCATCATTGAAACGCCAATTGGGCTGTATGCTTAGGCATTCTGTTTAAATGGGGACACATCAATTCTCCAAAATTGCTTGCCAAGCTGATGATTAAATTTTATTTTAGGAATCACCAACAAAATTAAAGAACAGCTGTCTCAGTTTCATTTCTAAGTGTTTTTTTTTTCCATTTCAAAATCTAAAGAACCTTACGTCTGGCCTGAGCCCCTCACTCAAAGAATGGTTAGTCTATAGCAATCAATAATTGGCTCCTGTACTAGAAGGCTTCATTCCCCATATTGACTTCACTCCCCATATTGACTGTTACACTTTCCCCCATTCAAAACTATTTGAGTGACATGTCATGTGTATTTTATACTCTTTGTTAATATACACTTGATAGATGCAATTCACTAAGACAAAAACTATATTATTAGAAATATTCATATACAGTAATATATGTTTCATATTTATAATACGCGTAAAACATATGTTCTGAGTATATTTATGTATATAAATACACACACATACTGTATATAAAATACAAAAATATAAAAAATATATATATTTACAAATAATCCAAAATATATGTATTTTTTATACAGTACAGCCAGGCATACATTTATTCAGACAAACATATACACAGTATGCAAAAGTATATATATTTTGTAAATATTTACTTTTAATTTGGGTGTGATTAATCATGATTAATTATGACAGTACTTAAAAATACATTTTGTAATATATACTTTATTGCAAAAGCTTTTAAAATCTGTTAATTCACATGTAAATGCTTCAAGATATTTGTGTTAACTTATTTTAAAATAAACAATTCAAATAAAGTTTATTCCCAAAATAAAGTTTATTAAAGTTTTATTAAAGTTTAAATAAAGTTCAGTCATAAATAATATATGAAATGATCATAATTATTTATATTTTATGTTAAAACATTTGTAAATATAGTAATAGTTGACTTTTTAGTTTGTTTTTGGCCACTTTATGTCATTGCTTATGCAATGGCAAATTTATATATAAAGCTTGATTCATCAGAATCGGTACTCTGTATCGACCGATCCCCATGTAACAGAATCAGTTCTCAGTATCAGCTGCAAAAATCCTGATCGGAGCATCCCTAGTTTTTACCCATTCCCTTCATCACAGAAGCCAACAAAAATGTTATCAATGTTTTTTAAATGTTTGAAACTGCTTTAATGTTTTACTGTATCTTTCTTTTTTCTCTTTAAAAAAAGCCTCCTTTCAAAGGCATTTAAACCTTTTCATTCCTGTATTGCTGTAACTAAGCACTCAGTGTACCATGGGCGGTACACTAAAACATTAAGAGATGTGAATCAATCATTCTCTTGACTAACAGTGTACTTTTAAAGTAAACAAACTTCAATCGCAGTTTAAATATTTTAACATTGAGTAATAATCTTTCCTAAACCTCTGATGATGTAAAAATGTGTTTCCTTCCACAGAAGTCATTTTAACAGGCACTGATATACTTCAAAGGCTCTTAGATGAATCAGCAACAATGTTATGAGAGTGAACAGGCATCTAATGTCTGGTCACAACTAATATCTAAGATAAAATCAAATAAAAGAGCGAGCATTGTGCTTTTCATAAACTGTAAGCAATGTGAAACTCCCGAGGTGACTGCAGACAATAGCAGAGATGTTTCTGATGCTGCTCAGGCTTGTAAAGAGTATTAATAGCATCGAGAAGTGTGTCGCTATAATTAATTAAGTAGGATGTGTGTCTGTAAGCTCACCTGTCCAGACTGGCAGTAATTGTATCCCATCTCTCTGGATATTATCCAGTTAGCGTGATCCTCAATTGTAGCCATGTCAGGGAACTTAACAGGTGAGCTGAAATAGTCAAACTCCAGCTCTAAACATGGGGTTTCCTAAAGCAAAAACAGCATTTACACACAATAAAAGTAACCAAACAACATTTTATTAAAAACTAATGTATATTTAGCATCCATGCAACTTCAGTTTTGGTTATTACAATAACGTTTTGTCCTAAAAATGTACAATTTCATCTGATAACGAAAATAAACAAAAGACTGCATACTAAATAAAGAGCTTTGAAACCGATGCTCTTCATTAACTATGTCACCTCAGATTAGACAACACAGAGAAATCGTATTAAAGCTTATTAAAGTGGCTCAGTGCTGAAAAGAGATTATGTAAGAGAAGAAACCTTGTTAGGGTTGGAGCCTGTGACACCGATGGGGTTAAGCAGGTCTTCTAGGCCGTGTGGTACAGGCCACAGATTCAGTGCCATCTTTCCTGAGACCAGAGTGTGTGTGTAGTCGAACAGGTTGACGTTTCCCCAGGCCAGTGGACAGTGCTCCTGTAGCAGATCAACCAATGCGACATTTCACATCTCAGTGCCACTAATACATCGAGGATAATGATTTTTAAAATTGTATTTAATGTCATTTTCGTTAATAAATATACAATTAAAAACAACAAACAAACAAATAAATACATAACTTATACGCAATTTTTAAGGTTAATACATAACAAAGATTCTACATTTTTTCCTGTTGACACTTTGCTGAATATCTCAAGATAGGAGAGTTCATTTTAGGGCTGCACTAGAAAAGCATTCAGGCATAAGAAAATGTACCATATGTATATCGACAAATTAACATTGATTCATTCCATTGAATTGTTGATAAAACGAAGACTATACAGTTTTATTTTACAATTGATTATTCAATTACTGTCTAAATACAGTTCCACTCCTCAGAAAACAATAAAACGCTATTAATTTAATTTGCATCCATTTCATTATTGATTTTATTTATGCTTTTAGATTGTTTATTATACTTTATTCACTCCCCCTACAAAATTATCCTAATCAATCTAAAATGATAAATTCTTTCCAAATAGTTATTAAACTCATCTAGTAAAAATTAACATATCACAATATATATGTCGCAGAAAAAAAAAATCTTTCTCCAATATCGTGCAGCCCCTGGTTCATTTCATAAAAAAAAGCCTTCTGCAGTCATTAAAAGCCAGACAGTCCAGCAAAATGTGTTTTAAAGTGAGAGTATTTGTGCAGAACAAATATTGAGTGGGGTCTTCACCTTTAAGCAAAAAACCTTGAGTTATTCTTGCATGTCCAATACGTCATATGGTAAAAATAACTTGATCAAATCTAGTCTTAAAATGTATCAAAACACTTTGAAATTTCAGATTGTATTTCCACTATAACATTGTGCTTAGTAAGTGTGCATCAACTGTAAAGTTGCAAAAAGCTTCATAGATGGCAATAATGTCTGTTTAAAAAAAAAAAAAAACAACGCACTGCAAAAATATATTATAATATTTGCTTGATTTTTACGAGATAATATAATAATTTTTTGGTGAAAATAATGAAATTTGCTCGCATTCAAATGTGTAAGTATAAAGTACATGCAAAACAAACTCTGATATTCACATCAATCTACTCAAAATTAAATAATTTAAATTATTATTTTAGCCAAGAGAGCTAAAAAGCAGAAAACCTCTCTTGCTTCCCTCCTCAGGCCTAGCATGAAAAAGTATTCATCCAATCACATCATGTTTACAATGAATGTATGACTTTTAGCTTAGAGTGCACCATGATGAAACATTGCTGTTTTAATGGGTTTCATTTTTTTCTGAAGGTCCTAAGTGTTGCTATTTTTGAAAGGAAATGAAATAAAATTTCAATAAAGCACAGCCCTCTGCCAAATGTTGGGCTGTTGTTCGCATTAACACAGCCATATTAATCAGAAAAGACATTCATGAGGATGCACAACCAGCAAGGTTTTATAAGACGTCTGTATAAATGCACGACAGAAAAGCGTTATCACCTCTTTTGCCCCCTTCCTTCCTTTCACAGAACAGATGGAGAGACAGAGACGAGCCGCCCGGGGGATGTCAGGAATGTACATGTCATAAGTCAGCCACTCGTTCCACCTGAAGACACATATCAGCACATAATGTTCCATTTAAAACATCTACACTTTTAAAAAACAAAAAGCAGTGCAACAATCAAATGATAAAATTATTGACGGACTGAGAAGCAATCGCTAGAAAACAAGAGAATAAACCAACTGCCTAATTGTCATGTGGCTTCAAGACTGAAGTCAATCTATTTACTTCTGTGACACATTGACCTTAGAAGTGACAAAATGTTTGCGTAAATAAGGGAGAAATTTTGAAATGATATTTTCTACAGAAAAAAAAGGGTGATGTGTTTATGTCACGACGATAAACAAGAAAAATGGCATTTCATGTCAAAAAGGTTGCATAAGATAAAGTGCCTCCTCTGACATTTAACACATCTGCATGATTTTACTCCATTACAAAAGACAAACGGAAGCTCATTTTTTGCCACAGAATAATAAATAAAATAATTCTGATATTTTGCCCCACAATTCTGATTATATAAAAGTTTATATATTGCAATTTATTCTCAGATTTGCTAGTTTTATTTTGCTCATTTGCAAATTGTGAACATAAGTTTTACATTCTTGAGCGTAAGAAGATTCTGTGCTAATAATATTGGATTTCTGCATGTTTCCCCAAGTAAATTTTAAGACTTTTTCGAGGCCATTATAAATTAAATTTCAAACAGAGCAAAACAGTAAGCATTGTGTCTAATGGCCAGTAGAAATCATTTTTAAGTGTCCACTCCAAAAAATCTAATTGCGTTATTTCTCAGCCACATATTTTACATAATGTGTCAAAACAAGCTAACTCTAGTTATATACATGTATTTAAAAAAACATGTAGCTATTAAATGTAACTTTGTTAAATGCTTTTTCTTTAGATGATTGTTTATGATTTAATTAATTTCATTTCATTTTTGACATTTAAGACATTTTAAGACCTATTAAGACCCCACAGACATCCTGTATTAATACTAAACTGAATTTACCAAAATATTTACTAAACAAAATAGGAATTTATTAATCCAGACAGACATTTTAGCCATAAAATTAGGCTCTTAAGATGGGGGAGATAAATATAAACTCAGATCTGAGTGGTCATATTAACAAGATGTCTACCTTTAAAATGCTAAGAAAAAAAAGCCAGAACTGCAAACAGTCAATTCTGAACTCAAAGTTTTGAGAACAAAGTGAAGAAAACATGCAGTTTTCCGAAATAAAATAAGATCTGAAGTCAAAAATGATATAAAAATTCACAATTTGCAGAATTGGCCATAGATGTTTTTGTAGACACATTCACACTCATTCAGTAATGATTCAACTGTAGTGTTTGTACGGTACCTCGGATTTGAACACGGGACACGCTGCGTGTTGACATTATCACACAACTGTTCTCCACCATGGTAGATCCCCGTCCGCACATAAATCTGAAATAAAATGTGACAAGCAATAAGGTGCAAAGCCTCTTAGATCAGAAAAAAAAACCTATGCAAGAAAGGTCACGCAACAATAATGAAAAGCAACACACAACAGCTTCCTGTTAATTTACACTGCACAGTCTTACAAAACACTTCCAATTAGGGCTGCACGATTTGGAGAAAAAAATTAATTGTGATTTATCTGATTAAAATTGCAAATATACTACCATTTCATAAAAAACAACAGCTTTGATGTCAACAGCACCAAAGAAGACCAAGCATGATCACAAAGCACGCTACACTATGCCACTATTTAAAACCTCTTAAACATTGTTGCCATTTTTTCCAATGAAGTTGTCAAGTGTCCTGTCATATTAAGTAAATAACTACAGTATTTTAAATTCAATTAAATTAATTAAAATATCTTCGATATAAAAAACCTTTACATTTACATTGGGTTACATTGGGTTACAATTGGGCTTTTTCACATTCTGAATTTAATGCCTAAATATTAAATTGTTATTATGACTCCAATTAAATTAAATATTTTTAAAAATAAAATATTCTTAAAAATAAAATATGTACTTTGGAAGAGTGTACTTGCATTGTGATAATATTATATTGTCATTCTGGCATTTTATAATGAGTGTCCTAAAATGACAATAATATAATTTATATCAATATATTCTGGTGTAATATATCATTCTAGGGTTGTCACGATACTGGAATTTGGTAGCAATCGATACTGAAATTTTAAATACATTAATTTCCCGCTAACATTTGAGCGTGTTCTTAAACAGCGCTGATTTGTCATTGTGTTCACATGCTCAACAGAAATTACAGTGCTTGACCGTGTAGGTCATCAGTTCACCGAACTCACCGCTGTTTACTGAGTGTAACCACAGATTCAGGGACACTGAAGAGTTTTAAAGCCGCGATTCATAAGCGGATCGCTCGTTTGTCAGCTTAAAGACAAACCAGCTGATAAACGTGACTTTGAAACGGTCCAGTGTTAATGAATCTGTAGTTACACTCAGTAAACAGTGATGAGTTTGGTGAACTGATGACCTTCACAGCCAATCCTAGTCAATTCTGTTGAGCATGTGAACACAATGGCAACTCAGTGGTGTATAAGAACTTGCTCAACAGCGCTCAAATGTTGTATCGATTGGTACTGAATTCCAGTATCATGACAACCCTATTCACCTTATTCATCACATACGAGCGGGTGCAGCCATTTGAATCTTTTTAGCTCGAGACTTCCGGTCTCATTCACTTCCATTCATTTTTAGTCCTTAAATTTTTTACAGATTTTAAACTTATACTTTCTTATTATATTATTCTGCTTTGTCTGTATAGTCATGCACACACTTGTTTGTAGAGCTATAAATTCCTATTCCTAGGCATTTCTCCCGTAGGCGACTGAATCGAAAGTTCAAAACAATCGCAAAAACGAGCGTCCACTTTGAAAAATAAGATCTATATTGTACAACAAAAAACAGATATAATAAATATCCTATCTGTCAGAACTTTCAAAACCTATATGTTTGTTGTTACCACATTTGATAGCGCATTGAAATAATCGCTTAAGCCATTTAAAAAAATTGCGTTTAAAATTTGATTAACCGTGCAGGCCTACTTCATGCATTGTGTACAATAAAAGCAACTTCAAGCAAGCACCTTATCAATGTCCCGAATGTTCACATTAACGTATGTTGCGCAGAGGACCCGTATCCTAAGGGTGCTGTTAATGGTCCAGAGAGATTTGGTGGAGGCCTCTCCGTTCATGTAAGGCGTGGCGGTGGAGATGCGGCGGGAATAGGAGGGCATGGTGAAGTTGTCCATCGGCAGCTGAGAGTAAAGACTGTCCTTGGACATAAGCATGAGGTTTGGCAAGCGACCCAGCATAATGCAACTCCGTACATACTGAGGGAAAGAGAAGGATAGAAATAGAGGGAGATTTTCATACATAAAGCCACATAATCAGCATATCTCATGAGCCCTTTAGTCATCTAAAATGCTCAGAGCTATTTTTAGCATCCCGAACAGCAATTCTTTTCATATTGTTATGTTGGGATGATATAAACTACAAATGCAGCCGTTCACTGAAACTACTCATTTGGATTTGGTGTACTGGCTGGTTTTTTGGGATAATGAAAGCCTGAAACAAAAACAGAATCGCTGCCAAAAACTTAAAATCGGAAACAACTAAAACCTCAGATGGCTAATTAATCAAAGCCCAGGGTAAAAAGCATAAATCTTTACTGGAAATAAACAAAAGCAACATTTGAACTAAAAATGACCATGTTTTCCTGAATATGAGCCTCATTTATTATTTATCTGAAACATCCTCCGACATATGCTCTAAAAGTCATATAATTATATATAAATAATTACATAATTATATAATACATTTCAATTCAAAATATTCATAAATATGTTTGGATTTCAGCTGAATGAAACACTTTAAGTAAGTTTGTTTAAGCTTGATGTTTACCGTAATCAATGGTGGAAAGAGTACTAAAAAATAATACTCCAGTAAAAGTACCATTACTTGCCTAAAAATGTACTGCAAGTAGTGTAAAAGTATCTGTTGTAAATATTGCTCAAAGTATGAGTAAAAAGATCTTTTAAAAGTACTCAGGTGTATTACACTGTAAAAACTGATGCATTTACATGTAATTTGTGGATGACTGTAAACATAACATGCTTCAAACATCAGCGTTTAATGACAACGTTATTTTGATGTCCAATAACAGTGTCAAAATTGGTTGTTTTAGGTGGTGTTGGAAAGTGACCAAAATCCAACATCGAGCCAACATCTTTAACGAACGTCATATTGACATTAAATACTGACAGTTATTTGTCAGGTATGGCAACCAAAATCCGATGGACATCATAGTGGTAACGTCCACACAACCTCAAGCTGTAACATCATTATATGTTGATGTTTGGTTGATTTTAGGTTGGACGTTAAACATTGATGTTGGCCTGACGTTAAGTTCTGATGTCAACCTGATTTTCATTTCCAAACAAAATGCAAAGTCCCCACGACGTTGGGGTAATTAAAAGAAAAAAGAAAATATGCAATAATTTTGTATATTTTAAAAATATATTTAAATTTTTTAAATTGATGCTTGTATTTGCACCAGTTCTGCAATGCACGTCCCCGACCTGACGCACTGGGTTAAATTAGACTGTCCAGTCTTCATGGTCAGTCCATTACTTCCACTGTATCTGTTCACCTCGGGTAACAGAACCAACCCCATGACATTAGACAGCGATATTTCAAGATGGTAGCACCCTGGCTCTAAAAGCTACAGTAAAAAATGCAGTTTTCATCAAAATGGTTCCATGATTAGAGTTTGTTTAATATATTTTAATTAAAGTAAATCATTTAAAATATTGTTAAACTTTACAAAATAATGAAAACTTGACTGCCTGCTTCACCTTCACTTTAAACTGAAATGATTTGTTGTGGAGTGACGGAAACTAAAACACAAAACATATTAAAATGCTAATTTAAAAAGCACTTTCACACATAATTCGATTAAATTTGGTAAAGTTGCATTCTCATATGCAGCTCCTTTTGCATGGAATACTCTTCAAAAGCAAAACAAACTCCAGCCACTAGTCTCCTTAGGCAGATTGAAAACTTTATAGCGTGATTATTTACATTTAGCATCTTTTATCTGTCAATGCTAAGGTACTTGCTCTGTTAATTGTAGGATAATTCATATTTATCTTAAACCATTACATAATCTTATGATTTACTTTTACTACTGTATCTATTGGATAAGTTTTGGTGGTACATTTCGTTTTATTTAAGGGTATTTTGCATTGTTATATTGTAAAGTTTATTATTATTTGTTCGTCCAAAATACTCTTGAAAAAGAGATTACAATCTCAAGGTTTTACTGGTAAAATAAAAAGACTAAATAAAACAATACAATAAATAATAATCAAAACACAAGGTAGTTATAAGAACTATAACCTTTTAAACTTTTTTTAATTAGGCCTACTGGTAGCCTATTTTTAGTACTGAACTAAATCATATAACCTTTTTGAGTTTGTTTACTCTCAACAATGCCACTTTGACCTGGAGTAACCTATAATCAGAATGAACAGAACAAAACCTGGCACTTTAGTGATGATAAAAAGGGCCTAAACGTACCTTGTACTGACTGATGGGGTACTTTTCCAAAAGATACTCGTCACAGCCGCAGACCTTCAGGATGTATTTGCCCTGATATTCCTGCACGCACATCTTTAGCTGCTCGGCTGACAGCAGCATGCTTCTGGTTTTCTTCCTGATGGCTTCGGCGATCACCTGCTCAGGTACGCAGTCGTGATTGATCTTTAGTGTGTACTTCTGCTTGTCGTTGTTGGGCGAGACGATCACCCAGATGACCACAATGATTTGACCTAGCACAACAAAGGAGAAGTGTTAACACAATCGGCTCTATTGGATCGACTCCTTCAGGCATCAAGCATGTGAGAACAGACAATTAATCCCACATGGCAACTGAGTGTGTTAAAAAAAGCCCTGGATATTGAACGCAGCCGAATGAAGCTGTCAGGGAGTGAATGTAATAGAGTTGTTGTGCTTGCGTTCCTCTGGGTTAAGAGGAGACAGTGGGCAAAAGCATCAAAACAAACATCATATGCTTCGTGACGACTACTACTATTACAACACAGGCCCATTCACATAAGAACGAAAACAACATTAGCGCAAATACAAGACTTCCTGGAATGACTCAAATCTATAAAGAGTACTACAGGCTTTGGTCTAGAAGGCATAAAGAAACATTCCAGGTTATTCTCAATCTCAAATAAATAGTAAGCAAATAATGTTGGCTTGTCTGTTAGCATTTGTTAGGAAAAACACAAAGAAGGCCTTGCAGGGAGAACCATCCAAACATGATTAAAACATGCAAATATCACATGATTCAGAAAGTATATCTTTGATAATGTGCTAGCATGAGGCTGGTGTGGTAAAGTTAATAAAACTAAAAATACTGTCATAATTTACTCACTCTACTTGTTTCAAACCTGTTTGAGTTTCTTTATTCTATTGAACAAAAAGAAATAGACTTAGGAGAAAGATAAAAACCTGTAACCATTGACTTGCATACTGGGAAAAACAAATACTATTAAAGTCAATGGTTACAGTTTTCCAACATTCTTTAAAACATCTTCTTTTGTGTCTAACAGAAAGCAGAAACTCTGCTCAGACGGAGGGAGAGTAAATGATTATGGAATTTTCATTTTTGGGGGAACCATCCCATTGACATCCATAGTAGGGTTGCACGATATTGGAATTTGGTACCAAACGATACAGAAATTTTAAAAACGTCCATTACCCGCTGACATTTGGGCGCTAATGAGCACCTTCTTAAACAGCACTGATTTGCTGTTGTGTTTACGTTATCAACAGAAATGACTGTGATTGGCCGTGAAGGTCATCAGTTGCTTAGCGCTCAAATGTCAGCGGGAAATGGACATTTTTTAAATTTCAGTATCAATTGGTACGATTTCAGTATGGTGCAACCCAAATCAATAGTGTTAACATGTTGTTATCTCTCTACTTTGTTGACCTCTAAGAAGGTTATCCGGGTTACAAATGAGAGAGCGCGCAGGGGCGGGGTTGATGAGGGGAAAAGTTCAGTTGAAGATGTCTTGTGTGTGTGCGAGGAGGGAATGAACAAAATAAAGTGTGCTTACTAAATAAACGTTGTGTTTATTCAACTTTACAAATAGTATTCGTTTTTCCGACTATAGAAATCAATGATTACAGGTTTTCAGCTTTCTTCAAAATATATTCTTTTTTGTTCAACAGAATAAAGAAAATTAATCAGTATTAGAATAATTAAAGGGTGAGTAAATTTTCATTTATGTGTGAACTATCTCTTTAAAGCATGAACATACTTGATAGAAATAACTTCTATTTTTACATAATAAAATAAACCTGTAACCAATACATTGACTTCCATAGTGAGGGAAAACAGTATCGAAGTCAATGGTTACAGGTTTCCGACATTCTTCAAAGCATCTTTATTTGTGCCCAAACAGAAAGAAGAAACTTAACTGTTTTGGAACAAGTTGAGGGTGAGTAAATAATTACAGAATTTTCCTTGTTTGGGGGAACTATCACTTTGACATCCATAGTATTTGTTTTTCTTATAGAAATCAATGGTTACAGGTTTTTTTAGCTTTCTTCAAAATATCCTCTTTTTTGTTCAACAGAATCAAGAAACTCAATAATTACCTGCAGAAATATAAGTCATTTATTACTCTAACATTTTAAAGCAGAGAGCTCCAATAAAATATCCAAGGAATAATTCCAGAAAAAAAATGTTTATTCATATTTGTAACTGATTTACTGAAAGATTTGGTTTAAAACAGCTTAAAATATCTCCGATTTTGATACTGACAAGTAATGACAAGTATAAAACAAAATTACTAGCAAAAGAAAATACATTGATTACTGTAGATGGGTCAACAATAACAGAGAAAATTACAAATGTGATCACTGATTTTGCATACAAGTAAAACATTAAATAATTGGAGGTAAAAGTCTAATGTTTCAAGCAAATGAAAATGAAATATCCAAAAATTCATTGTTTCTTAGGCCCAATCTAAATTCTACCCCTTAGCCCTTCCCCTATACCAATTCTCTTTAGCGTGAGGGTGTAGGGCTAATGGGAAGGGTTAGATAGCCCTTGAAATTGAGATTTTTCAGGATCACACACAAAACCAAGGGGTCTGAAATTTTCCCAGAATACGCCATCTACAATGACAGCATGGCTGCACACAGAAATAAGGAGATGCAGAAATTAATATTTTTGTCATTATTATGACATGCATGAATCCTAAAGGTAATTTAAAATCTTTTAAAAACTTTTTAAAGACCTTGTCAGATTATTTTAAGGTCTCGTCGCCACTTCAAGGTCTAATCAGTATCAATCCTTAATAAACAGTTGCAGTTAAATAAATTAATGGAGCACAACCATGCCACAGAAGTCTGATAAGCTCAGAAGAAGCAAATCTTGAAAGAATAAATTACACAGACGATTTCAGCAACAGGTTTCAGCCACTGTTTAAACTTGTCTTTCTCCAACCAAGAGTACGCAAACTTACATTTTCCCATTTTGCTGTCTGTTTCGCTCTGTGGTTTCGCTACACGTGGAGAGCGTTACAGCACCTTCCTGCATTTGTCGCAAATTACATGACATCACCTGGATGGAGAAGCTTGGCCGGACACACCCCAGCCTGAACCAATCGCATTAAGAGAAGCACGCAGTTGTTAATATATGAAGTAAAATAAATATGTTTAAGCTCTTTTTAAAGTCAAACACTTTGGACAACATTGAATTAAATTTAAAACCTCATAAAAACTTTTTAAATACCTTTTAAGGGCCTTAATTTTCTCATAATTGATTTTTAATACTTTTTAAGACCTCGTGGACACTTTGTATAAAGTTTTACAACAAACACGCATATATTTTAATATATTCATAACAACGTTTATGTTTTACCGCCATGCTTAAAAAAAAAAACTATTAAAAATAACTCACTAAATTACGCTATCTATTATCCAAAATAATAACTCCTGTATGGCAGTCCCACAACATATTTTCACATCTGTCACTTGATGACACTGGAATACCCTGTCAGAAGAGTATAGTGGCTGGGAATGGCTTTTTACAGTATCTGCTATAATGTTTATGTAGCTTTCATATAGATGAATATAGAGCCACAGTGTAAATACACAGCACAGTTATGAGCTTATTGACGCATTATATCGTTATGATAACATGATATTGTTGCCTTTGCTGTTTTCCTGAAGATAAATGCCAAAAAATAATGCAACTGGAATAACTACAGCAGTTGCAATTGTCGATCTCATATAAATACGAGCTCGCGATGACATGTGATGACGTGTGCAGGTGCTGCAGTGGTGTCCCATTTCTAAGGGGTAAAAATTTAAGCCCTTCGACTTCACACTGTTTTAAGGGCCAAGGAGAAGGGTTGGGGAAAAATAGAATTGGGATTGGGCCTTAGATGTGCGTACAACTGACTTAACATACTTACTTTAAATATAGGCCTTATTAAATATAAATAATTTCATTTAAAACAATATTATACACAAACTAGTGTTGAATGACACTTAATTAGGTACATTTTGCCCTGAAAAACTAATCCTTGAAAATTTTAATCTATTTTAATTTTATAATTTTATCATAATTTTAATCCTTGAAATCCATTTTATTCTGACAATTTCAATGTACAATTTCATAAACATTATTTATTTCATATTGTATATGATGATTCAACTGTCATCTCATGTCATCACTAAAAAAAACTTCACAAAACCTAAAAAAACCTGCATAAAAATAACACGAATGGCAAAGACATGATGAGTTCTCCAAACCGTTTCCATAGAAATTAAACTGAGAACACCCAAAATGCCTAAAATACAGAAGTGCCTAAAAGGTTGTCTCACTTCTTGTAAACTATTTAGAGAACATCAGAGTTTTCTCGTTTTACCTTATAGGGAAAATGTAAGTGTTGCCGGCAATGCAGATATGCTGTCTCGATGCTAGGCTGTTCTGAACAGTTATTAAACCGCTATGCAGTGACTTACAGGCCACCTATCAAATGCATGAAGTCACTGACATTCCAGTCCCTAAATGTAGGTCTTTTCAGGTTCCCCCATTAAATCTGGAGAGGAAAAGCAAACACACAATCCTCTGGGAAATTAAACAACCTTACCTTTGTCTAATTTGCCATATATATGCTTTGGAAGCTCTGGTGAAGACTCCACGTTAGGAGGATAAACGTATAGTGCTCGACTGTGTGCCCCGCTGGCGTCCCGCAACTCTACTGAGTCCTTGCAGACATTAAGGATATTTCTCCTGAAGTCCTGCACCTCAGGATCCTTCACTAGATCAAACTCACACACTGGCATGCCAATGGCAAAACCTGAAAACATAACAAACATTGCCTTAGGACAAGGTCAGCACAGAAAATTCATAAAATTGTTGACTGACCGACAAACAATATTATATTAAGGTCCCAGTAAAAAAAAAAAAAAAAAAGTCAATAATGATGACAAACTTTGGATTTTTATTTTTTCAACCTATTCAGCATCTTTTATCTCATTATATGAACCCATAAACATTTCTAGAGCAGTCCTGAGGGTGCTTTCACTAGCTTTTCACAGTTCAGTCAATCACACACTGAAACTGAAAAATCTCCAGGACAAACTATCAAAACAAAAGCAATTCTAACATTGATATTACTATCGTATACCATAAAGTAGGGCTGGGTGATATGAAAAAAAATATATAGAATTTCAGGAAAAAATCATCTCATAACATGATAGCAATATAGACCATGATACAGTACCATTTCTGTAAATTTAATCCATTAATAGCTTCTATATATTGACGACATGTAAAATACTATTTATTTTTATACATTTTTATTATATACTCAGAATTGTACTCATTCATTTGTGATCATGTTTCTCACTTTATTTAGATCTTCACAGCAAATTTATTGATTAAAAAAATATTTTAAAAATATTAATACAATATATTATTAATATATTTTTTTACGCACAAATAAATAATTCGAACATTAAAGAAAAGACAGTGCTTTATTAAACATCCTACTGTAAATATATCACAACTCAGTTTTCGATTAGTAATGTGCATTGCTGCTAGCACTTCATTTGATTTTCTCAGTATTTTGATTTATTTTGAACCCTCAGATTGCAGATATTGTAATAGTTTTCAGCTTTCATGTGATGTTTATAATCTCAATTTCTGGTTTTGTGGTCAAGTCACATTTATTAATTCACATACCATTTGTGATGATACATTTGTAATAAATCATAATACAAACAGGAAAAAAGAAAAATAAACACCAGATATGGAACAAGCATTAGCCAGTTCTAGCATTTAGTAGATCAGAGTAGGCAAGGGCTGGTATAAGGTATGATAACCTTGGATAAAAATATCACGGTTTCACAGTTTTTTGACTACTGCTCTAAAATATACACTAACGATGGGATCAGTAGGATTTTTAAATGTTTTAAAATAAGCTTCTTCTGCTCACCAAGCCTGCATTTATTTTATTAAAAACACAGTAGAAATTGCAAAATTATAAAATGCTCTTGGACTATAAAATAACTGTTCAAAAGCAGTTTATCATTTCATTTATTCATTTATTCCAGTAATTTTAATGATGAATTTTTAGCTTCATTACTACAGTCTTCAAAGTCACATGATCCTTCAGAAATCACTCTAATAATTAATTATTGTTATTATTAATGATAAAAGTAATAAAAGCAATATTGACTCAGGTAATAATTTCATTTGAAACTACATACATTAAGAAAGTTGAGATATTCCATGAAAATGTCAACCTTGCCATGAAAAAAAATTTATTTTCACTAAAATACAGAAACCGTTTCTGGGTTTTTTGTGTAAGCAAGTATTTACAGTACTTTAAAAATACTCAAAAATGCATCTGTCAAGGTTTTCAAACTATTCTATTTGATTTACCAAAGTCACACAAGTGGCAATTTCACATCAGTCACATCACTAACAGAGAGATGTCACATCCATAACGACACTTTTTTTCTCATAAATGTGAAAATATTAAATAAATTGAAACGAATCATTTTTGTTTTATAGCGAGCCAACTCTTATCCTTTTGATTATTATTGTTTATTTGGGGTAGGGCTGTGCAATTAATCAAAAATCTGATTTCGATTATGGCTTCTAACGATTATGAAAAACCATTAACCGAGATAAACGATTATTCCATTATTTACCGCCCCCTGTCCAGTTGTCCTCACTTGTTACTCTTAAAAGCGCGAAAGACCGCATGCTTTTGTGTGTGTAGCGCGCAGACAGCTGAGCAGATAGCACACACATCTAAAGTCATTAACGTGAGCACTTTAATGTTCAAATAGTTGTCAAAACGCAGTGTTTAGTGATTATTCATATTAACCCTCATTTTGTAATAAACAAACGAGTTGAGAATCAAAAGACACTTGAAAGCGAAACCATTAAAGTGACAGAGCACAGCTGCCGCCTGTTTTATCATGATTAATAAAACAACGAGAAAATCTCTCTTTGCTCTTGACTGAAGACTTTTGTAGCTAAAGTGTTTTTCTTACGGTGAAGAAGCTAAAAGCAAAGTTTGTTTCATATTTTTATTTTATTGTATTTATTTCTCTTTCCTTTGCAGGGAGGAAAATAATATATGCAGTTGAAGTCAGAATTATTAGCCCTCCTGAATATTAGCAACCTTTTTCCCCCAATTTCTGTTTAAAGAAAAGAAAATTTCTGATCATAATAGTTTTAATCATTAATTTCTAATAACCGATTAATTTTGTCTTTGCTATGATGACAGCTCATAATATTTTAGTAGATATTTTTAAATACAAACATTCAAATTCAAAGTGTGATTCAAAAGCTTAATTAGGGTAATTAGGCAAGTCATTATATAACAGTAGTTTCTTCTGCAGACAATCAAAAATATATATTGCCTAAAGGGGCTAATAATATTGACCTTAAAAGAGGTTTCAAAATATTTAAATTTGCTTTTATTCTAGCCAAAACAAAACAAATAAGCTTTTCTCCAGAAGAAAAATATTAGATTTCGATAAAGTATGTTGTTACAGTAAACCCGCAAACTTTTTTTGTCACATCCATAACGCATGTCTATTTCCCATTTAAAGTACAAAACATGTTTACAGATTGATATTTTTTTGATCCCTTAACTCTGTGGTCAGTTGTTCTGGAAAATATGAACAAAAGTTTCAATATAATGGTAACATATACTTTCTATGTGAATTTATGTTTTGAGTTTTTACTGCAATTGTCACATCCATTAGGTTGGAATTGCTCAGTTATTTAACTTTTTTTTTTAAGTAATTAACAATTTCAATTTTTTTTCATTTAATAAATGCCGCCTTAATGAACAGAATCATTTACTTAAAAAAAAAAAAAAAAAAAAAACGGGAAAAAATCTGACCTTAAACTTTTGAATGGTAGTGTATTCTAGTTAAATGTCTGGGTAAAAAACTAAAAACTTTTTTCTCCTTTGTACACATTATATTTTATTTTGAGCAAGATTTAAAATATTTTGGAGCAGTAAACGTGTCGGGTAAATTATTCAAATCAATCATTGACTTCTGCTGTCTTCATTAGTTTCAAAAACATCGATTTTTTTTGACAATTTAAAGCAGCATCTTCGGAAATCATTTCTGCTAGAGATCCTGTTGTCCTAAAAAAACATAAATGAAAAAATCTTACATATACCTTAAAAATGGTATAGCAAAATTTTTTGACGGTTTTAAAACCTTGACTTTTCCAAATCATGGAATAGCTTGAAAATGGTTATCATCCCATGTCTAGATCAGAGATGCCCAAACTACAGGGTCCTCAGGCCAATGTTGGCCCTTTGTGTCCTTTGATTTGGCCCGCCAAAGCCCAAATGATTGGGAAAGGTTGGGGAATATCTTTAACAAAGATTTTCATTTTCTATTTTAAAGTAACCTTTTGTTTGTTTGTTTGTTTGTTTTATTGTTGAGCTACAAAATAATATAAATATTTACATTTACATATGTAAATGAATCCGATTTTTAAAAAATGTGCTGTCACCTAACAAATAGGGGACATAGCAGAAGACATCAGCGTGCAAATAAAGGCAAATTCAGCATGACTAGTGCATTCGCCATTGAACTTCACTGTTTTTATAAATGGATTTTTGTTTTAATGGTTTTATTGTAATAAGTTAGTTAATATAATTAACATTTTCAAAAAAGTATAATGCATTAGCAAGTAAGTAGAAGTAATGTTTATTATTTATTTATGAATATTATGAAATAATTTAGGAAAATACCCATGGCCACTTCTTACAGTTTGCTATATTTACTTTCGGCCCACAGCTCTCAATCAAGCTTGGATTTTGGCCCCTCATAACAAAAAGTTTGGCCACCCCTGTATAGATAAAAAAAAAGCTGCCAAAGTTTAAAGTCTTACCAATTTCTCTGTTGAGGATCTTTTCCTCTCTGTTCCCTACAGGTTCGATAACTTTTAGGAATGGCTGGAAAAGCCGAAGGTCGCAGAGTCTTCTGGTCTCATCGTAGAACTCCTCTCGCTCTGCCTCTTGCGTTACACTGACGAAAATATAAGAGGTCTCCTCCTGCAGCAGATGGTGTAGGGGGTATTTCCTAGCCTCCTTAAACAGTTCATGTTTGATTGTTATGAGCGTAGCCTCCCGGAGGCACTCTAGTGTCAGGATCATGCCATTGGGCAGCAGACAGTCCACCAAAATCCTGGGGGGCATCAAATGGATGCCCCATAACTCTCCCGAAGAGGGTCTTGGAGGCATGATTTGTAATCCTCACAAAGTCAACAAGGGAAGCAATAATTGTCAACCTCCTTCTCTCCTGAAAGAGAACAGGATAAATACAGTAAGTTTTGGCAACAACTTTGACATCACACATTGTTTTCCATAACAATAAGATTAACAGATAAGACTAATATGATAAGACAAAATGTTCAAGTCAGCATATCCTGAAACAAACAGTTGTTTTATCAAAAAAGAACCAAAACTGATTAATCAATGTGTTGTCATTTACAGTAAAAACTAAGGAAAAAAAGTCCTTTCACTACTGAAAATATTTTGCCTTTGGTTTTAAGTATTCAAGGCATTGTAAAAAAAAAAAAAAAAAAAAAAAAACTGTTATTAACTGTTATTATTTCTGTTTACTTACGGTTGTGAATTGCACTATGGAATGTTGATATCTGCTCTGTCCACTTTTGATGTTGAAAATTCAATAAATTCAGTTTAACAAAGTGACTATCATTGACATTTTTTAGTTTTTGAAATAATATACGGTATAAGAAGTAATATATAGACTGAACTATGAGTTAACAAAATTATTTACTTAACCTGTGCCTCTGCAGACGTAGAAGTTCATTCATGCTTATAATAACAGTTGCTTTTGTATCATCAAATTGCAGTGCTCATTATATTTCAAATAGTTTGGATTAGGGCTGCTCGATATTGAAAAAATATGATATTGCGATATTTTATTTTTCTGTGATATTGTGATATGAACGCAGTTTCACAAAATAGTTTGAAAAGCTCTATGTAATAGTTTTCTGAAGAGTCTATAACATTATTCAGAATCAGATACAGAAATTAAATAACCAAATTAGAAAAAAATGCTTTTCTTACTTTGTTTTGTCTCATTTCCACACCAAACATTAAAAAATTCTTAGAGCAAGTAAAAATATTGTTTTGTTTTTATCGTAAGAATAACTTTTTAAGAAATTTAAGTCACAATTAGGACATTTTCCTCAAAACAAGCTAAATTATCTGCCAATGGAGTGAGTGGAATAATCGAGTTTTTGCTTTGAAATGTAGATATTTGGAATAGAAACAAGACAATTCTAAGAAATATTTTTTTATGCATAAATCATATAAATTCCTTATAAATACAGTGACTAAATAAAATTCTGTAGCTCCTGCTCAACTATAATTCAGACTCCACATTGCATATCTTTGCGATGTGACTATTGCACATGTGCACATTGTGATATGGATGCTAAAACAATATATTATACAGCCCTAGTTAGAATCTACATCAAATAACTCAAATATAATAAATTAAAAAATAAACAGTAACAGAAAACTGTACATAATTAAAATATTTGCAAAAATAATTCCACTAGATTGCTATATCAGGGTTTCCACAGGTTTCATTACATCAAATGTAAGACTTTTTAAGACCATTTTAAGACCATAATGAAGGAAATTCAGACTTACACACAGCTAAACACTAAAGATTTTTTAAATGGTCAAGATAAAAAAATTAAAAAGCATTAAAAACAAACGTTATTGTAAGGAAGATAATTAAATCATATTAATAAGCAAATAAAGTTAATAAATAAAAGTTTCTTGAAACTTTTATTTAAATATATTGTTAGTGATTGGACGAGTGTCAGCCCGATTTGGTAAAGCTTTACATAGACATAGGAGTATTTAAAACCATTTAAAATGATTTGAGACCTACAACACAATATTTCAGTGGATTTAAGACTTTATTAGATTTAAATTAGATTTTTGAAATGTTAAGACTTTTTAAGACGCGTATACTCTGTATATTTAATCAACTTGTTTTATTAAACTGACACCAAACATTTTATACGCTAATTAAAACACACAAACACCCAATAACAAACAATCTAGTACTAAACCATGAGGCAAACAGAGTTATTTGATGCAGTCACATCCCTGACATCAGCCTTAAAAAAACATCCTTACAGGAAGTTCAGCACAACCCAACATCTGAGTCACTGAGCAATGACAGGAATGTATCACTCAGTAAGAGAGGAAAGATATTTCCACTCAACACAAAGCCAAAAACATTTGGCACTTCATACTCTACTCTAGTGGATGACTTGTTTTTCCCTGCAAACACGGGCCAACAAAAAAGACACCGGGATACATCTCCTGGGTGTAAAGCTTCCGAAAATGATTCACTAATCTTACAAACAAAATCTTTCGCCATTTTAAAACACCTCAAATGTTTTATCTGAAATATCTGGATTTTTAAACTAGACCGTAAATACATCAGATCTCATCTATCCCCATATGTAGTTCTTCTGGTTTATTTATGCAAAACACCATGCAAATATTCATGACAGAGATTTGTGGGTCTTTGTTACTTCATGGTTGTAACCGCTCCACATTTTAACACTTTCTTTTAACACCAGATAACAGCAAAAGACAAATCAATATTTACAACATAAGATAGAGGTTTTTGTGCTTACCTTGGTCTGTTGTTAGGGACACTTGTAAATGTAAATGTCCATCATATTTCAGACCTTCATTTGATCTGTTTATAGCTTCTCTTTAGATTCAATGATTTATACTGTAACAACAACAACAAAAAGATAGGCATTCAGTGGCTAGCGGAAAGTGAACCTGCTCACTCGGTTTACTCAAAACAACTGAACCAATGCCTGTGCCAACACTACCAACAACAACAATCCTCCACATCAGTGTTTAGACTGACATAGATGGGAAGATAATAAGATTAAAAGGTTTATCATTCTTGCATATGAATAGCCCCAGCCACAATGACAAAGGAAAGCACTTGCTGCAACAGTTTACAGACATATAAGTCTCGTTTATAAACGATATACTAGAGTTAAACTCGAGTTTATTCATATTTAACAAAACTGAATCATGACGGAGCAGAAACATAGACTAACGTTACTATAAACCGGCTTCATTTTACAGCGTAAAACAGAAGTTTGACAAATAAAGAAGTCGATATATTTTAACATGAATTATATAGGTAAACACGTTCATTAAGAATGTAAAAAATATATATATAAAATTAATTTCGGAAGGTTAATATCCATGGCATAATTAGCCTGATAGCCAAGTAGCAACCACATATAAAACAACCAATTAAGCGTAAATGTATTATATTCGTGTTGGAGAGTTGAAATATTTCTATAAATAAAACAAATTTCAGCTACAGCATAGGGGAGTCATTAAAGACTGTTTTTGTTTTCGTACAATGATGAGATATCGATTCTTTTAGCCACCTAGCCGCTAAGCTAACGTTGACCCACAACAGCAAACCCGAGAACTTTCAGATAAAATGTGTAGTAATATCCCGCCAACGACGCTTTAACAGTTATAATTCAGAAACAATAAATATATCACAAAAAGCCAAGAGGCATTGTTATTTTTTTTAAATCAAGAAATACACACGTCTCATGTTTATCTATATAGCTAACATGGATATGTACCGGAGAGTTTTTCTGAGGTAATCCGTTGTTGGTGTTCAGTCGCTCTGTCAAGGCTGTAAATCCAGCGCGGGGCTCTGTTGGGCCTCTAGCCGCCCCGCTCTGACACGCACCGCCTCTCCATCATCACAGCGGCGGCGGATCGAGAGCGGTGTTTTCGCACAAATCATTCATCACCGAGGCAGAAAGACGAAACACATGCTGTCCAATATCCGATGGTTTGGATAAAAATCGTCGGAAACGCTGTCACGATGGAACAAGGGAGGATCCTGTGGATAAATAAGCACTAAAGTGGCCGGATAGGTAAGAGGGAGGGTGACTGCTAAAGAGGGAGAGAGGGACAGAGAGAGAGCGAGGATGACAAACCCAATGAACTCCTTTTTTTTCCTATCGATCATCCCACTATGGTATGGGACAGCCATATGGTACACAAACAAACTTGAATTAAGCTAAAGAATCGTGGTAATCTTTGCAGAAACAATGACAAATGGTAGATCTTATTCTGTACTTGCACTGTAAATACAGTAAGTGTATTTTCGACTATATAACACACAGTGCTATGTGTGCATGATACACTGCTTATTTTGGTACACAGGCAAACAGGAATTGCAAATGCAGAAATAGACAGAATTTTAGCGAACAGTGCATGAACGAATGTCAAAATATGATATTCTGAATAAACTCAACATACATCAAAACATCAACATAAATAAAATGTAGAGCTCGATTTCTCTATAGAATGGGTATTAAGACATTGGTTAACTGACTTTATTATTAAATTAAGATTGTTTTCAGAGATGCGATAATTAAAATGAATTATTTTCAATAATTTGTATTATAATCGAAAATATAATAATAATAATTACTATTATTATTATTATTATTATTATAAAAATACATACTTATTAAACTATCAAAACCTTGCTAAAATATACCTAAAATATAAAATACACCTACAGTTTTCACAATATGCCTATAAAAATCTACTTAAATACTCTTGTTAAGAAGTTGAATGGGATTTGATTCGTCTTTAGTTTTAAATCAATTTATTGGTTGTTTAGACACCAAAATATTTTTTTAGAATTAAAAATACTTATTTTTAAAAACATTTTTCATTATTTATTGTCTCAAAAACAAATACAAGGCACGTAGAGATTAGAAGTAGTGCTCTACCTTGAGTGCTTCACACGTTTGTCAGCCTCGCTCATCCTCTCATTGCGCGAACTGAATCGTCAATCAGATTCTCACATCGATAGGAAATGGACTGTACCAATAGGCGTGAGGGAGGTATTGAAATATATTAAAAGACATTTCAGACATTTTAAATTATTTGTTTGAAGACAGTTTTGTAAAGCATCTGATTACAAATATTTAATGTCCCTTTACCTCATATATACAAACGTTCTTACGTATTTCTTGGTTTTCTGAAAACGTATGTGGTTGAAAACACCCCTCTGCTGGACGTTGGAAGCATGCGGCGCACGTCTGGCTGGAAGAAGTTGAGCAGCAGAGAGAGCTTGAAAGGATGCAGGGAAGATGGCGATGAATGTAAAGAACAGAGATGCTTTTTATTCAGGTGCTGACTATTGCAATATCTACAGCTCTCAGCCTGTAAACTATGGAGATTGCAGCCATTATTTCCCTCGGATCACAGGTAAGACAAGACAATGTTTTTGAAATGCTTTTCAATGCAGTGCGTTATAAGGGATGCTCTGCATCATATTTGCCTTGCCCTGCAATTACTTAAAATACGTGCTTATGTTCAAATAATGGTAAAATTGGGGAGCATAAATGCTTTGATGTGAGTCTAGCAATAACCATAGACAAATTAAGAATGAATATCCATATCTGCATTGCCTATGAGGATAATAACACATCAAATGTTAATAGAACACTATGTACACGACTAACATATTTCAAATATCATTGGATTTCTCAAAATGCAGCTTTTTGTTCTCTTCCCATTATGTTAGGATGTTGCTTAAGCTCTACATGGATGTAGTATTTGCATACATGTCAAGCTCAAAAACATACATGCAGGCTTTTAAAATACATTATTTTCCAAAGAGAGTACTCTAATCATTTATTCATTCCCTTTTGTACTGTAGAAACATTTGCAGAATGATGCATGAGGCAGGTTGAGTGAGGCATATGATGGTAGGTTCTGCCCATGTTCATATAAGCCTTGGTCAAATATGAAACAAACAGCCATGCTGATATGAAGGGAAATGCTATATCAGTCATGATTTTAACGTAACACTACCTGCTGTCTTTACAAAACACAATCAAACACAAGGTTAAGGTGGATTTGTTGAAGGAAGACTCCTAGGCAAGTTTATTCATCTAATTGACTAGGATATAAAAATGCTCAGTTTATATTTATTGCACTCCAGAGCGCTCTGTTCTTGGTTGAAGTGTTAAAGTGGCTCTGATATACAGTGGGACACCATACAGCTCGGAGAAAAGCCATTGAAATCCATAAGCCAAAACAGAAGGATGAATTGCGTGAGGATACAACAAACACAAATCATCCCTTAAGCACACAGAGCAATCATGCACGTAATGCATTTATTCTGCTCTCAATAATTGATGCTGTCACAGAACAAATGTGCAATGCACGAACAACTTAGAAGTGTTTTGCGGCAGTCAGTGGTGTAAAACAACCTGCAGCATCAAGTGATAGGACTGCTTTACCTTCTCATGTGCCCTGCATACCTTGCATTATAGATGCCCAATGGGAACAATCCTCCCCATATCTAAAAATATTTGATCCCAGTACTGATGAAAGAGCAGATGTTTGTTGCCATGCTCAGACTAAACTTTGCAGAGTAAATTTAATCTAAATGAAAGAGAGCAGGTATATGTGTCCCTGACCTTGAGTCGGGACTGTGGGTTCTACTTAGACCTATTTCTGGGCTTGTATTCTCTGATGACCAAGAGATATCAAGTTTGTTTTCAGGTCAAAAGGAGAAGAATGTGAAATGGTTGGGTACTGTTATTTTTTGTAACCCTGCAAATGATTATGAAGTTACATTCAAGTAAATTGTCTTATCATTTGGCTGTTTCAAATCTGTATGAAAGTCAAAGTGAACCTGATTGGTGACAAAAATACTTATTAAAAAAAAAAGATCTTTTTTAATTCCACAGAAGAAAGGGAGTCATACAGGTTTGGAAAGACATGAGATTTTAGCAAGATTTGCATATTTTGGGTGAAATATTCTAGTGATGGGGAAGTCTACCAGAGTTGAATGGCGACTACAAAAAATGGGTTATGGGTTTTGCATTTATGCACTCTCGGGGGAAAAAAGGCACAAGGTAGTACAAATAATGTTCCCTAAGGAACAGTTTTGTCCCTTTGTAAAAGTTGTACCTTATATGGTACAGAAAAGACTTCTTATGATACTGTTCTGTACCTTTTATGCTACAATTGAAATGAAGGTACACAATTGTTCACATAAAAAAGGTACGTAAGTGTTGGACAACTCCTTTATTACAATATCTATGAAAATAAATATTACTGGAAAGGCAAAGTGACTTTATGAATAACTTCCATATTAAAACAAGAATCATCATTTAAAAGCATGTTTTAAGAAACTTATAAACATTCATTATCAAGTTCTATAATACAAAACAACTGGTAGAACATAAAACTATAGGTATTGTAAACTGAACATTTAAGGCATTTTTAAAAAACATTTGGTTAGAATTTTCTGATACATTTTCATTATTGATATCCGCACCTTTTGGCGTTTGCTTTCCACTAGGCACATGAGCTGGCAAAAGTCCTGCACATATAAAGTGTTCATGCAGACATTTTAGTGTTGTAAAAATCAACAGACATTGCGCATATCTCATCAATACTTTTGCACAGCTCTATTTCTATTTTAAAATAAGGTAAATTAAATGAACTTTTAGGTGATTACACAGGTATTATGTGAAAACTGAAGAAAAAAAGGTTTTATATTGTACATTGGAGATTGTATTTCTGTAACATTTTTTGTGAAAAGTGTTGTGAATTGCTTAGCAAAAAACAGATCTTTTGATTTATGTTAAAGTATTTTTTATTGTTTGTTGTAAATGGAAAAGTTGCATTTACACAAAAATAAACTCTTTATAAAAACATTGTTTAATATGTATTTGATATTTGATATTTACAGAAAATAAATTGACCTATTTTGTATGTAGCAAAATGCCTTTAAATTGTTCTTGAAGGAACACATTTGACATTGTTAAGGTACAAATGTCTTGTCACTGTAGTGGTGCCTTCATGGATCAGATTTGTACTTTTAATGAAGGTACAATGTTGTACAAAGGTACATTTTGGTTTCCCATGGTACAAATCAAGTCCTTAAAGATACAAACTGCAATGATACAAATTCGTTTCTTTGTCTTAAGGTACAATTCTGTCCCATAAAAAGGTAATGCTTTATTAAAAATATAAATTCAAAAGCTAGATTTGTGAGGGGTGTACTTATATAAGCTGAGCACTGTATGTATACTGTATATATCATATCCTCTTTACGTCAAATTACAAAAAAAAATAATAATTACTGCTTATTTAAGGTGTTTGTAATGCAGTGTCTATGGGGCTGACAGTAAATTTGACTTTAATCTCTCCTTTGTCTGCAACTTCTGCTGCTGAGAAACCCAGAAATGTGAAAAGGGTCTATTACGATCTGATAAAGTTGGCATGCAACACAAACTAAATTGATTTTCTACCTCTAGTGTGACAGGTGAAACTTGTACTTCTCTGTTTCTTAAACAAGAAAAATATAAGACAACTGGCAGTATATGCTGGCAGTCCTAAAAAGATGAAAATGTATTATGATAAATTGTTGAGATGATTTTAATGTACCACTTAGGGGGAAGGTTTATAGGGCACATCTTTGGAAAAAATGCAAATTTTTTTTGTTTTAGTTTTCATTCATTTATTTATTTTATTTCAGCTTAGTTCCTTTTTTTATTCAGGGGTCCCCACAGCGGAATGAACCACTAACTTATCCAGCATATGTTTAACGCAGCGGACGCCCTTCCAGCTGCAACCCATCACTGGGAAACACCCATACACACTCATTCACACACATACACTATGGCCAATTTAGCTTACCCAATTTACCTGTATCGCATGTCTTTGGACTTGTGGGGAAACCAGAGGACCTGGAGGAAACCCACGCCAACACAGGGAGAACATGCAAACTGCACAAAGAAATGCCAACTGACCGAGCCAAAACTCAAACCCATGACTTTCTTGCTGTGTGGCGACAGCGCAACCCACTGTGCCACTGTGTAGTTTTAGCAAACCAATTTGTCAAAAAACAAGTTGAGATAACTGGGGCTGGGTATAGCCATTTGAGGGAGGTCTAAAACCTGTTTGTTTTTTATTTATTTTTGAATTAGGAAATTAAAAATTTAGTATTGTGGCACGGTGGCTGAATCGCTGCAAGAAGGTCACTGGTTCGAGTCTCAGCTGAGCCAGCATTTCTGATTGGTGTTTGCATGTTCTACCTGTGTTCGTGTGGGTTTCCTCAGGGTGCTCCAGTTTCCCCACAGTCCAAAGACATTCGCTATAGGTGAATTGAATAAATTAAATTGCCTATAGTGTGTGTAAATGAGTGTGTATGGGTGTTTCCCAGTACTGGGTTGCGGCTGGAAGTGATGAATGAATGAATGAATGAATATTCAGTATTAACTTTTTTCATAATTTTTTTAATAAGCAGGAACATCATAAAACCATAGATAAGGTGCTCTGGCTTCGAAGTTCTTCTGCAAGAAGCATGCAGTTCTTTTTTATTCTAAATCATTAATCATTTATTCAATCATTTTCCTTCAGCTCAGTCCCTTATTTATCAGAGGTCACCACAGCGGAATGAACCGCATACTATTCCGCTTATGTTTTTCATGCAGTGGATGCCATCATGTAACTGATAGAGCAGCCAACATGCGTCGGCGATGAGTCCATATGTAATGCCGTTGCGCTCACGAGCATCAAGGTTGTGTCAAACGTGCGCAGGAAGCCGCAACTTTCACTTTGACCCCGTCGATAATAATTGATTGATAAATAATTATTTACTAACGAGTCATCATTTCTTAGTCTTCGGCCACCCTTTTTTTTATTTTTGCCTTTTCAAGTTTTCATTCATTTTCCTTTGACTTATTCCTTTATTTATCAGGGGTCGCCACAGCAGAATGAACTGCCAACTTATCCAGCATATGTTTTACACAGCAGATGCCCTTCAAGCTGCAACCCAATACTGGGAAACACCCATACACTCTCGTATTTATACATACACTACAGCCAATTGCATTTACCCAATTCACCTATAGCGCATGTATTTGGACTGTGAGGAAAACCGGAGCACCTGGAGGAAACTCATGCCAACATGGAGAGAACATGCAAACTCCACACAGAAATGCCAACTGACCCAGCCGGGGCTTGACCCAGCCGGGGCTCGAACCAGCGATCTTCTTGCTGTGAGCCGATCGTGCTACCCACTGCGCCATCCCGACACCTACATTTAAAAGAAAAGTATAAATGGTTCCATTTAAGGTTACAAACATAGCGGCATTTATAAATTCCAAATTCCAGGAAGTGGTGTTTTAACGATGACAGCTTTCAGGCAAACGGAAACACGACCATTTGGCGCATTCTAATGTCTATTTTGGTCATCTGAATCATTGTTGTCATGATCCCGTCGGAACTAATACACTGGAAATATCACACAGCCACAAAACAGCTGACCATCCAACCCCCACTCGCCCGGCCTCAGATGTGCCGAAGCGCCAAACATGCGCCGAGTTCAGGAGGCAGCAGTCAGCCCTAATCACATCTACAGCAGGCCATACTGCACAAATTCATTCCCGCTACAGGAAAAGCGATGCACAAGACATGGCACTTACATTTATCCGTGCTATTATTAGAAGGGCTCATTTGTCGCACTAAATATGTATATGGCCTTTACATCTCTGTTGTGTATAGCCCAGAGGTCTTATGTTATGTTTCAGCAGATTTGTGACCTAAGGATAAATATATAAAACTACAGAGCTGTGAAATTAATGTGGACATCGTAGCTGTTATATATTTGGTTTAGAAAGCATGAAATAGTTGAGCATGACTGCAGACTTGACAAATCTGAGGACAGCATTAAGATTAATTTTGAAACACCAAGACAGACACAAGAGTCTCACAATTTTTTTTTGTAAAAAAAAAAGCACTATACCTGACTGTTACAACTCTGTCAGTCAATAAAAATCCATGCAATCAGGTAAAAAATGTTCCCCATGCAGATTTTACATGTAATCAAGTTGATCACAGTTTTCTTTGCCCTGAAAATGAAAACCGTGATTGGTTTGAAAGTGACTTCAGTTTGAGTGCTGCTTCATAAATGTCTGTGCTATCAACAGCAGATTACACTGCAATTTCAGTAGTGTTATGGCACTTCTTCAATCTGATTCTAAATTCTGTCATTTGGCTTTCCAGGTCCAGACCCGATTCTGAAGCCCCCTATTAGTTTGATGTGTCAGCAGCCACCTCAGCCCTTCCAGGCCATGACCCCGACTCAGAACCTCAGACCTCCACCAGTGATGATGCCTGACCCCTTGCCATTCCCACACTGCACTCCACCCATAAAGCCACCTCCTCATCTCCAGTTGCCACCCAACCCACCCTTGCCACCACCTCCTGTCATCAGCCCAAAGCCCCCCGAGGAAGATGCTCAGGCTGTGGCCGCTGACCAGGAAGCCACTCTGGAAGAGCTTTGCAAACCTTTGTACTGTAAGCTTTGCAATGTCACTCTCAACTCTGCCCAACAGGCTCAGGCACATTATCAGGTAATCTAAAACCCATGAGGGATGAAAATGAATCAGTAAATTCATTCACAATCTGACTTTAACAAATGCAGTTTTGCATTGCACAATTGTCTGATGATAGTAAGCCTTGATTGTTTAGCTGCATGCTCTCACAATCATGAGTTCATACTTTCAGTTTTGGTTTCTTTCAGCGAGTTGTTTTTCTTGAGGTCCTGGTCTTTGCTGCGATGAAGCACGCAATCTATCCTTTGTTTTGTCTACAGGGGAAAAACCACAGTAAGAAGCTGCGCAATTTTTATGCCGGTAGCCAACAGCCTCCTCCCATTACAATTCCAGAAGTAGTAGAGCCTGTTTCCCAGCAACCCTCAGCCACTACACCCACAGATTCTGCTAATGCGACTGCCAACCAGGTGCTTATGACTCTGAACTGCTGCATTTCTGTCTAAACAAGTATGTTTTTAAAGATGTCTGGGAATAGGGCTATATTATTATTTATTTAGTTTTTACTTATTAGCATTATTTACAATGGCTTTGATAGCTAAGTCTATTAGGAGTGCAGTGAAATGGAAATTCTGGCCCATACTGATACTGATTTATTCATGGGGAAAATTTAGAATGGCTTGATAAGGCTGCCGATATATTCTGCATCATCTCCATAGAAATTTGACTCAATAACTAATAAATATCTGATTAACTTTTTAAGTTTCTAAGCCAATAAAAAATATTTAAGCCAATAAATGCAAATTTGAAAAAACATTTTTTGTATTTTTAAAAACAAAAACTCTGAAGTTCTCTTTTATTATGGTGAAAAATTTGATGGGGGCCAATATGGCCACCGATATCTTGTACATCACTAATGTCTATGGAAATTCAGGCAGATAACTGGTTACCGATAACTCTTTATCTTTATATAACCAATAATTAAGCTGATAAATACAAAGCCTTATTACGAAAACAAAATGGAAATAAATTGTAATTCTCAAGTCCAATTTTTTATGATAAAAATGTCAATATGGCCTGATATGGCCACCAATTTATTTTGTATCACTAATGTCTATAGGAAAATGGGCTGATAACCGATAAATGTCTTATTACCAATAAGTCTCTATATTTGGAAGCTGATAACTGATATTTAAGCCAAAATATAAATCTTGAAATTAATTTTTCTGTACCTGATAACAAAAAATCAACGATGCAATTCTGAAGTCTTTTTCTTCACGGTGAAAAACTCTATATGGCCAATAAATTTATCACTATAGAAATTTGGGCCAATAACTGCATCTATCTATAGAAATTTGAGCTGATAACCAATAAATGTCTTATTACGATAACTCTTTATATTTGTAAGCTAATAATTGATATTTAAGCCGATCTGAACATGGATTTCTTCTGTGTCTGATTACAAAACCAACAAAAACAACAAAGCAATTCTGAAGTCCTTTTCTTCATGGTGAAAAACTCGATAAGGCGCGATATGGCCGCCGATATATTGTGCATAAATTTTAATTGGTAATTATCTGATTACAAAGGACTGTTCATATTTCAAAGCCAATAACCAATATTTAAACTCATCAATACAAATCTTAAAATATTTAATATATTTTCTTATATTTAATAAGTCCTAATTTTCCACAGTTCAAAAACTCAAACACTCCCAAAATTTGCTCTTCTCATCCCTTAAGCATAACTCTTCTAAAGTGAGTGTCCACTGTGAAATGTACCTATCAAAAGTAGTAGGTCATTTGGCAGAAATGCTTCATAATTTGTTAATTTCCGATAATTGTTTTTTTCTTCTTGGGGAAATAACAATAACAGTCAAAATAAGCATATATCGGTTAATACCGATATATCGATATGTACATGATGCTGAACAAAATGAATATGTATTAATATCTACATATCTATTTGCCTAGAAGAATAGCATATCATCAAACACTTAAAAAAAACAGATACATTGTTTTTTGAATCTTTAACATCCAATCTGACAATATCTTTTAAGTGCAGTTTGATCATGCGGTGTCACGCCGCAAGCATCCATTCACTAAGTCTGGCTTGATAGTAATCAGAGACGTCCCAGTCGACATGCACCTTTCATCACTCGGCTTTTTCTAAAAGCTCCACTGTCATTGTCCCGTTTGCAGCCACTCACTAAGGGCGCCAGCAGAGTAATACTGGCCACGGAAAACGACTACTGCAAGCTGTGCGATGCCTCCTTCAGCTCCCCCGCTGTGGCCCAGGCACACTATCAGGGCAAAAACCACGCCAAAAGACTGCGTCTGGCCGAGGCGCAGCAGAACGCCACGTCCTCGTGAGTCTGTCACACCCACACATGCTCCAAGATAAAACAGCCAGTAAACATGGAAAATCCTCCTATGTTTGTGGGTGGTGTCGTTTCTGCCGTTTTTATTGAGACATCAGATATGCAGTTTGTTCTGCACTTGGGAATATCGTCAGATGCAAAACAGACGGGTTATGACCCCTTGTCTTGGGTTTGTTTACATTCATTTAGAAGACACTGTTATCAAAAGGAACTCACAATTAAGGATAGTAGAAGCAAGTCAAATCAACAGAAAAGCAACAAGTTAGTTAAACTTTGTCTAAATAACAAGGGTTGTTTTTTAACAGAAAAAAATGAGAAACAAATAGATCAATTTAGAATAGAATAGAATAGAATAGAATAGAATAGAATAGAATAGAATAGAATAGAATAGAAGTGTTAGTTTTGGAGGAGCTGGAGGGCCTTTTATAAACGTAAATATGCTTTTGGGATTGTCAAATATACTCATCAGCCGCTTTATTAGGTACACCTTACCTAGTACCGGGTTTGACCATATTGACATGATAGCATCACGCAGTTGCTGCAGATTTGTCGGCTGCACATCCATGATGCAAATTTCCTGAATTTCACTACATCCCAAAGGTGCTCTATTGGATTGACATCTGGTGACTGTTGAGGCCATTTGAGTACAGTGAACTCATTGTCATATTCAATCAACCAGTCTGAGATTATTCATGCTTTATGACATGGCACTTTATCCTGCTGGAAGTATCCATCAGAAGATGGGTACACTGTGGTCATAAAGGGATGGACATGGTCAGCAACAATATTCAGGTAGGCTGTGGCATTGACACAATGCTCAATTGGTACTAATGAGCCCAAAGATTGCCAAGAAAATATCCCCCACACCATTACACCACCACCAGCAGCCTGAACTGTTGATACAAGGCAGGATGGATCCATGCTTCCATGTTGTTGACACCAAATTCTGACAATACCACCCTGTATGGTCTTCTGCTGCTGTAGCCTGTCCGCCTGAAGGATGGACCTGTTCATGCTCTTTTGCATACCTCGGGTATAACCAGTGGTTATTTAAGTTACTGTTGCCTTTCTATCAGCTCCAACCAGCTGGTATCAACAAGGCATTTGCACCCAAAGAACTGCTGCTCACTAGATATTGTCTCTTTTTCGGACCATTCTCTGTAAATCCTAGAGATGGTTGTGCATGAAAATCCCAGTAGATCAGCAGTTTCTGAAATACTCACACCAGTCCACATGGCACAAAACCAATGGCATGTTCAAAGTCACGTAAATCAACGTTCTTCATCATTCTGATGCTCGGTTTGAACTGCAGCAGATCGTCTTGACCATGTCTACATGCCTAAATGCATTGCGTTGCTACCATGTGATTGGCTTATTAGAAATTTGTGTTAACGAGCAGTTGGACAGGTGTACCTAATAAAGTGGCCGGTCAGTGAATCTAAATCTGATGGGGGTTTTGTAATCCTAAAATCTTGATGAAAAGAAAATCCATGTGTATGCTTTAAACACTTCAGACATTTGGTATGGAGGAAGAGGCTTTTCCTGTGAGATTGATCTTCGGGCTGTTTTTGCATTGATAAGTGAGGCTCTCATTGAAATGCTGCTTTGGCTGTTGTTGGGCGGTCCTGATAACAAACCCAGGAAGATACATCCTGTTTCACTCCAAACCTATGATTGTATCTGAGCAAACATGTCTGTGGCCAGTTAAGCTAGGTTTGAATCCTCAGACCCAACAAATAGGCTAAAAGTGAGGGAAAATGTATATGAAACAAAGAATATGTCATTGTTTTTTGTAATAAAGAGTGAAAATGAATTATATATTTTCAGTTTGGTTCCCTTGACTTTATGAATCATTCACATAATCTCTAAAATATAAAAATATCCAAAATTCTAATATTTATAACATGTTTGTACTTAAGACAATATTGTGATTCAGTGAGACATAATCATTCAAATGTTTGTAGAAATCATTTTTCTACATATGCAATTATTTTAATAAATCTTTTTTTATTTTACATTAAATTTATACTGTAACATTTGTATATTTCAAAGACTTTGTGTTCATTGACTGAAAACTGTAATGATGCCGAATAATATTTGTTTTAAAAACTGTTTTCTAGATTAGTTTATTTTAATACTGTGAAAAATTTGCAAAGTATTCAGCTTGTTGCTTGAAATAATAAAATAATATTATATGCATATTAAGGTGTGTAATAATCGAGAGGCTAAATAACTATATCTATTCATAAATAGAAGGTTTCATATAGTGTTTTTTTTTCTTCCAGAGACTTGTCTGACACTCAGAGACGGCCACGGAAAGAAGGGTACGAGTATCGATTAATGAAGAACCGCAGAGCTCAGTTCAACACTGCCATGCCAGGTACTGTCCACATACATTCGTCTCAACCAATAGTTTAGTAGACAGATTTTTGCCATCATGTGATCTTGCCCCACGGGTTCAGTTTTCTGCTCAGTGGTCCAAGCTGTGGTGCAAAACCTGCATTTGTGATCAGTGCTTTGGCAGCAGAGCGCTTGGCAGCTGCGCGTGTTAGTTTGCCAGCCTGTGCTAATGTAGCGCAATGCGCTAGTCTCGCTAAATGCAGGCCTCAAGCCAAGGCTTTGGTCTGTGTAAGTCGATCCTTCACCCCACGTCAGCCCAGGCTCACGAACGTCACCCACACGATGGCAGATCTCAATCACACACATGCCCCCATTGCCCTGGACTCCTGTCCTCAATTACACATGGAAACACATAGCGTTCACTAGCTGCACTATAGGCCAAAGTCAAGCACTTACACATTGTGCTTCATTAAATGTAAAATAGGTGTTTTATCACTAAAAGGTATGAAAATTGTATATGTTTTCCTCATATGTTGCTAAATGTGTACATTACTGCAAATTGTAAATGTGATAATTTAAAAATTTACAAAACATGTCAATCCATACTTAAAACATGGCTGCAGACTCAAATGCAATTTGAGCTGCATCCAATGCTTTTTAATGCTCTCACCTTACCTCACCCCTAATCCTACTCCTCACAATGATGTCACTAGCTCCATTGAGAGCATTGTGTTTGACACTGCATCCCTGAGCGATGCAATCTCAGCTTGCATCATAAAGGCTGCATCCAGATTCTATTGGGTAACCTTGTTGTTGTCTATATGCCAACTGTTTCAAACTTCAAGCTTCTGAAAAACTACTTAAACTTTCATGCTAGGCTTTCTCATGGTGTCACCATGAAGCTTGTCTATGAACTTTACTTTCCTAGTTACTATTTGCATCTTGCTTACCTCAATTCAATTAAAAATGTAAATTCAGGAATTGGGCTGTAATTTAAAAAGGATTCTCAGTGCACTTCTGAGTAGCACACTACCGAGTATGCATGTATGAAATATGGTAATTTTCCAACAGAATAAGTTGGATTTAAACGCTTTTTGTTTTTTCTTTATTCTGATATGGATGTGAATCTCCTATTTTCCAAAAATAATTTGCAGAATTTTAATGCGGTATCAATTAACTACTTATTATGAAATATTTCTGTTATTTTAAAGATTTTCATAATTATTACTTCAGTCATCAATGTCACATGATCCTTTAGAAATCATTGTAATATGCTGATCTCACGCCCAAGCAACATTTCTTATTTCTTATTAATAGTGCTTCTTAAAGACACAGTTCACACAAAAGAATTCCTATTTTCCTCATCATTTTCTCACACTCAAATGGTTGAACACAAAACATGCTATTCTGAAGAATGTTATGTTTATATATATATATATATATATATATATATATATATATATATATATATATATATATATATATATATATATATATATATATATATATATATATATATATATATATATATACAGTTGAAGTCAGAATTATTAGCCCCCTTTTGATTTTTATTTTCTTTTTTAAATATTTCCCAAATGATGTTTAACAGAGCAATGACATTTTTACAGTATGTCTGATAATATTTTTTCTTCTGGAGAAAGTCTTATTTGTTTTATTTCGGCTAGAATAAAAGTAGTTATTAATTTTTTTTAAAAACATTTTTGGGACAAAATTATTAGCCCCTTTAAGCTAATTCTTTTTTGGATAGTCTACAGAACAAACCATCATCATACAATAATTTGACTAATTACCCTAACCTGCCTAGTGCACCTTATTACCCTAGTTAAGCCTTTAAATGTCACTTTAAGCTGTATAGAAGTGTCTTGAAAAATTTCAAGTAAAATATTATTTACTGTCATCATGTCATCATGCTCAACAGAAAAAGAAAAGAAAAACACGCAAACAGGTTTGTAACAAGTAGAGTGTGAGTAAATGATGACAGATTTTTCATTTTTGGGTGAACCATCCTTTTAAAGAGCCCCTATTATGCAATAAAAAAGGTCATATTTTAGTTTTGGGGTCTTCAACAACAGGCTGATATGCATGCAAGGTCAAAAAGCGCTTTCATTGTCTTATAATTTGTTTTTATTTATCCCAGCGACTCCCACATGATTCGTTCAGCGATTCATTTGTTCCCAAACCCCTCCTTAGCACAATGCTAATCTGCGCTGATTGGTCAGATGACCCAGTCTGTTGTGATTGGTCGACTGCATTCAACGCAATACAGAGAGAACTGCCCACCATGACTTATCAACATTGTTGAAGTAGTCAGAGTGCAGAGTGTTTGTGTGAGCCCAATGCAGGAGTGCATTAAATCAATGCAGTTTAACATCAGCATATTGCTCTATTCTAAACTATAAGTAAAAACAATGACACACATTCAGTATTAATACTAATAAACTATTTTGAAACTTGACCGCCGCACTTGTAGGAACAGCTGATGGTGGCCATAGCTATGACAAACAGCAGTGGATTTCCAGCACACAAATGCCTTTAAATCCGTAAAGAATCCGGCACGTGCTTTTGATATGACATGTGGTTATAAAGAGTTAAGCAGATAGTGTACAAGTCGCATGGAGCGATTGATTACAAGTAACAAAACACAATTAAATACATATTTTGCAAGCTAGAGAAAACAAGGAGGCAACGATTTTAATCGCACTTACTTACACTTGTGAAATGAAAGAAGAAAATAGTCCATGAACTGTGCACTGGTAACGTTCCTGTCAAGCTCTGACAAAGTCACATACAACAATAGTCTTTTCTGATCCTTCCTTTACCAAACGGCCGAACAATCCCTCGTTGCAGGGTAGATTATTGCATTGATCACCAGCGTGTTCGCTCATCTTCAGTCATGATCAGTCCCACACACACTCGCACTCTGCCAGCGTTTGAAGGGAAAGGCAGGTTAATGTTTTACTGGATCCGGCACTTCATATTTGATATTGTTTCGGGACGTCGTTGATAAATTTTAATCATTTAAATGAATCTTTTGTTAAAAATAAATCAATATTTTTAAACACGGTGCACTTTCAGATTTAACCCTCAGCTGGATATTTTCATTCACTTAGAGCTGTGTTACACACTGCATGGAAGGTCATTTACTTTTAAATACCCATAATAGGAGCTCTTTAAAAATATATTTGTAATATTATAAAACTACACACCATACTTTTCATCGATTTAATACATGTTTGCTGAATAAAACGCTTAGTACTTACTGACTCCTGAGAATGCTGGCGTTTGTACATCAACCTGCACATCAAATGTCAGTGTGACTATGCATTTCATAATCTTATACATCTGCTTATTCATGTAGCTGTTGATTTGATGTTTCATGAGCTGACATGTTTCTTGTGCTGTTTCAGGCCCTTACTACAACCCACGGCCGAGGCAGCGTATCCCACGAGACCTTGCCATGTGCGTCACACCCAGTGGCCAGTTCTACTGCTCCATGTGTAACTCGGGTGCCAGCGAGGAGGCCGAATTTCGCCTACACCTGGAGAGCAAACAGCACAAAAGCAGAGTGTCAGAGCAGCGCTACCGCAGTGAGATGGAGAACCTGGGATACACTTAAGAAGATTAGGGATTCTGAGGAACTAACCTTGCCATTTTGCAAGTAGCCACTTTTGTTTTAAAATGGAAGATGTTTTTGTTTCTTTATGTGATTAATGTGTTATTCCATAAGCAATTTATGAGCTAGTATTAGCAGCACACATTGCAAAGCAAAGTTTCCTTTGTGCCAGAATGAGAGGTAATTTGTGAAAGGTTTTTTTAATACGTTGAAGTCAAAATTATTTTCCTATGATTTTTTTTTCTTTTTCAAATATTTCCCAAATGGGGCATCACGGTGGCACAGTGGGTAGCATGATCACCATACAACAAGAAAGTTGCTGGTTCGAGCCTCGGCCGGATCAGTTGGCATTTCTGTAAGGAGTTTGCATGTTCTCCCCGTGTTCAGATGGGTTTCCTCCGGGTGTTACCCCCACAGTCCAAAGACATGCAGTTTAGGTGAATTGAATAAGCCAAATTGGCCATAGTGTATGTGTGTAAATGCAATGCATGTATGGGTGTTTCCCTGTGTTGGGTTGCAGCTGAAAGGGCATCCGCTGTGTAAAACATATGCTGGATAAGTTGGCGGCTCATTCCTGGTAAATAAATGAAATAAGCCGAAAAGAAAATGAATAAATGATATTTCACAAATTACGTTTAATGAAGCAAGGCATTTTCCACAGTATTTCCTATAATATTTTTTCTTCTAGAGAAAGTTTTATTTGTTTTATTTCAGCTAGAATAAAAGCAGTCTTTATTTTTTTTAAACCATTTTAAGTTCAATATTATTAGCCCCCTTAAGCAGTATTTGTTTTTGATTGTCTACTGAATGAACCACCATTATGCAATGACTTGCCTGACTTAGGGCCACACAAAATCTGCATGCGCAGAATTCAGCAGATTTTTAGCCCATCATTAATTCTGTTTATTTACTTAAGTAAATGTGTGTAAATCTATATTTATTCAGTTTTTACATTTATTTCAGTAATAATATTGACTAATATGAAAATGTTCATCTGATTTATGTACAATGCAGTTTGTACAGAAATATTTTCTGTCTTTTAGTAGACATATTATAGGAGAGACTTGCTTTGTTTACCAAATAATGTGAATCTAATTGGATTTGCATTTTAAACATTAAATAAAAATTAAAAAGATATTATTTTATATTTCACATATTAAGGTTTTAGTTAGGATACTCCCAAAATAATTCTGCAGAAATCCACAGATTTTTACCAAAATTCTCAGCAGAAATAACAAAAAACGACCGCAGATTCCATCTGGCCCTACTGATTACCCTAACTTGCCTAGGTAATCTAATTAAGCCTTTACATTGCACTTCTGGCTGAATATTAGCATCTAATAATACTGACTTCAACTGTATATCTACACTACAAACAATAATTTTCTCAGTTAGATTTGTTTTCTTGTTTCTAGTCCAAAAATCTAAACATTCCTAAATCAAGAAGCATTTTCTAGACAACCAAAACATAATGTCTTGTTTTAAGAATAAATATGCCAATAGTTTTTTTTTTTAAACAAGCAAAATAATCTGCTAATGGGGTAAGCAAAATAATCTAATGTCAAAAGGAAAAACAAGATTATTCTGCTTACCCCATTATTTTGCTTGTTTTAAGGAAAAACTCACTTAATATTCATTCATTCATTTTCTTTTCAGCTTAGTCCCTTTATTAATCAGGGGTTGCCACAGCGAAATGGACCGCCAACTTATCCAGCACATTTTTACGCAGCGGATGCCCTTCCAGCCGCAACCCATCTCTAGGAAACATACATACACACTTATTTACAAACACTCATACACTACGGACAATTTAGCCTACCCAATTCACCTGTCCTGCATGTCTTTGGAAAACCGGAGCACCCGGAGGAAACCCACGCGTACGCAGGGAGAACATGCAAACTCCACACAGAAACTCCAACTGACCCAGCCGAGGCTCTAACCAGCAACCTTCTTGCTGTGAGGCGACAGCACTACCTACTGCGTCCCCACTCACTTAATATTGGCATATTATTTCTTAAAACAAGACATTATGTTTTGCTTGCACAAAATGCTTCTTGATATAAGAATGTTTAGATATCTGGACAAGAAAGAAGCCAAAAAAAAAAAAATTGAAGTAAGAAAAGCATTTTTTTTATTGTGTAGGAAGTATTTGTGTTCATAATTAGTGTTAAAGTAGTAAATTCTTATCCTAGATTGCCTTATGAGCAGGGACATCAATATTAGTGTTGTTTACTGCACTGTTTTGGATTAACTACATTATAATATTTTTTTTTGTTTGTTTACAATGATTCAAATGAATCTTGAAGAGGTAGTAAGTATATACATTTTAGATTTTTTTTCCGAAACTATATTATGTGTGCAATTTATCCTTCAAAAAGGGACAAATCTAGCAGCAATCATTTTCCTAGACAAACAAAAGTGGCAATCCTACTCACCCTGAGCTGCAGATTCACTGTGTTTCTTCAGGAGCTCCAGAACGAACACCGCTGTTCCTCGAGTCAAAATAAGAGAGTAAATGTGGCGGCTCTCCAGCGTTCCTGCTGAATGTACTGTGAAAGCGATGACAATAGATCAACCCGTTTACTTCGTTTAGACATACTGGCAATTGTTCAATCTGATAAGCATCATTTTGGAGCAAATATCTGGTATTGTTAACTAGCATGCGTTTGTTTGGGAAATTCTTCTTTAGTTTCATTTTTGGATTATATAAAGGGAATCTCTCCATGGATTAAAGGGAGAAATGGACAACATGGCTAATTTTAATAAGGCCTGTACCGCCTGTGTTCCCCTACCTCACAACTATCTGATTTAGAGAAGTTTTGAAGCTAATCTGAGACCTTGTTTTACCTGGTATAATCATATATTTTCAGTGATTGATCACAATTGATAATGCCAATGCTTTACCATTTTCACCTGCTAATACAGGGGTGTCCAAACTCAGCCCTGGAGGGCCCGTGTCCTGCATAGTTTAGCTCCAACTTCCTTCAACACACCTCCCTGGAGGAGCTTGATTAGCTGATTCAGGTGTGTTTAATTGGGGTTGGAACTAAAATATGTAGGACACCCGCCCTCCAGGACCGAGTTTGGACACCCCTGTGCTAATTACATTTAATTAAAGGGTTAGTTTATGCAAATATGTAAGCTTAATGAAAATGCTACTAAATATCAGTTGTCAACAGGGAAATAGAAAAAATAATCATTGAATCCGTTATGTTTAGATCAGTACGAATCACAAACTACTGTGCTTAAAATGTACTGAGAAATATATGATCTTTAAATGAATAGTGCACCTAAAAAGGAAACATTGCTGAAATATATTCTCCTTCAGGCAATTCTAGACTTATATTCCCCAAATGTGTCCAAAGCAGCTCATTTCTGACTTGTAAAAACTAAATGCTTGGTAAATATTCAGTTTTTTGGGGTTAAACTTTCCTTTGGGCGTATTTATTGCAAAAAGCAGGAGCTTTAAAAAATTTAAGATGTTTTTTTTTGGTTCATGGATGCATGATTTTGCACATAAACATCCCTTTCCTCCTATTTTATCACTTAAAATGCTATAAATATTTTATCAAAGATATGTACTATATTATAAACTGAAATGATGACCCATTTTTACCCTCACTGTTTTTGTTTGCTCTCAATCCTTTCTTAAATAAGCTATTTCTGTAATATCTCAGAGTTGCTGTCTCTAAATGTTTGCGATTGTAGTTCTTCTCTGATTTAGTATTAGTTCCGCATGAGATTATTGCTGCTTGTGTGTATTAAAATGACAACTGCTCTGCAAGAAAAGGACCAGAACTGAATCGCACTTGGTAAGAAATGAAAAAGACAATGTTGTGCTACATGCTATAAATGATTACGCAGACGTCAACGTTCATTTAAATCAAATGTTTACAGTGGGAATCATCACGGAGGACTTTTGGGACAGTTTGTGGGACTAATAGACATCTTAAATGTGCCTCGGAGTATAAAGCCTACTCAACTGTGATGCTCAACATTTCACGTTGTTCTGCTTTACATATGTTTCCAGTAGGAGTTTTGCATATTCAAATACTGACCATTTAAGTCAAGCTTTTTTATGTAAATGGCTAGGTGGTGAGCTGTTTCATATATATATAAACACTACCCGACAAAAGCATTGTCGTCGATCCCAGTTGTAAGAGCAACAAATAATAACTTGACTTCTAGTTGATCATTTAGAAAAGTGGCAGAAGATAGATTTTTGGTGAACTGCATCCCAATCATGACAAATATGGCAGAAGAGCTATTAGAACCCGCATGGACCCAAGATCACAGAAATCAGTCAAGTTTGGTGAAGAAAAAAATTATGGTTTGGGGTTACATTCAGTATGGGGGCGTGCGAGAGATCTGCAGAGTGGATGGCAACATCAACAGCCTGAGGTATCAAGACATTTGTGCTGCCTATTACATTACAAACCACAGGAGAGGGCAAATTCTTCAGCAGTACAGCACTCCTCATACTTCAGCCTCCACATCAAAGTTCCAGAAAGCAAAGAAGGTCAAGTTGCTCCAGAATTGGCCAGCCCAGTCACCAGACATGAACATTATTAAGCATGTCTTGAGTAACATGAAGGAGGAGGGATTGAAGATGAATCCAAAGAATAAACTCTGGGAGTCCTGCAAGAGCGCTTTCTTTGCCATTCCAGATGATTTTATTAATAAGTTATTAGAGTCATTGCAGAGATGTATGGATGCAGTCCTCCAAGCTCATGGGAGTCATACACAATATTAATTCTTTTTCCACAGCTTTATATTCTATACTGGACATTATTTCTGTTAAGTGACAAGACTTTTGTTTAAGCAAAGTCAGACCTTACTGTCCTAATTAAATAATTAAAAATCAAGGCATGATCATATTTTATTTTGGTAAATTAAGCATAAGAGATGCCCTTGCATTTCATATAAGCCACTTCTGATATCAAATGATCAACTAGAAGTCAAGTTATTATTTGTTGTTCCCAAAACTTGGATGGGCAACAAGACTTTTGTCAGGAAGTGTATATATAAACTTTGCATTTTAAATGTTACGGCGAGACACTGCAGGTGATGAGAGTAAAAGAAAATCTATTACTCATCATATTTCCCATTGATTTGATTGTATTAAGATTTGCACACATTTTTTTGTATGTCACATTTTTTTAAATGTTTAAATATGCAAATGAGGCATTATTTAATAATGTTAAATTATTTAACAGTGTTAATTATTTAACACTGTAAAAAGTGATCAGCTGACATTACTTGAA